CCGTTTTGACGTTTATTGGATACAAACAAACAGACAAACAAACAGACAGACAAGCCAAATTTATATATAGATGGTCAAATATCAAATGATATAAGATACAATAAAAAGATACTAAAATCAAATAACTCTCACTCTTTAATAGCCTAGCTTTTAGAACAAAATGCAACTAGTTACAACTATGACATAATTGTACAATGTATATTTTGCAATCAATAAATGCAATAGATATGTAAATTGTTACAGGGGATAAAATAATTTTTGTAAAAAACTAAATCTTTGATAATAGTATAAATACTAGAAAACTATTATTGCTAATGATAAAGATAATATGAATATGTTTTCTAGCATAAATACTTAGCTAAGTAAAGATGTGAATAAAATAATTGTTAGCGGAGGAAATCCCATTTCTGGGATTGATTCAAGTGTGAAAATAGTTGTTTGCTTCGGAATCCATTATAACCAGGGTTTCCTTTTAGTAAATACTTAATTTTAATTCAGAAAGTACTTTTCAGGGTTTCCTTTTAGTAAATACTTAATTTTAATTCAGAAAGTACTTTTCAGGGTTTCCTTTCAGTAAAACTTAATTTTAATTTAGAAAGTACTGTTCAGGGTTTCCTTTTAGTAAATGCTTTCTTTTAATTCAGAAAGTACTTTTCAGGGTTTCCTTTTAGTAAATACTTAATTTTTAATTCTTCCTTTTAGTAAATGCTTTCTTTTAATTCAGAAAGTACTTTTCAGGGTTTCCTTTTAGTAAATACTTAATTTTAATTCAGAAAGTACTTTTCAGGGTTTCCTTTCAGTAAATACTTAATTTTTTATTCAGAAAGTACTTTTCAGGGTTTCCTTTTAGTTAATTCTTACTTTTAATTCAGTAAGTACGTTTCAGGGTTTTCTTTTAGTAAATACTTAATTTTAATTCTAAAAGTACTTTTCAGGGTTTCCTTTCAGTAAATGCTTTCTTTTATTTCAGAAATTACTTTTCAGGTTTTTTTTTAGTAAATACTTACTTTTAATTCCGAAAGTTTTCAGGGTTTCCTTTTAGTAAATACTTACTTTTAATTCAGAAAGTTTTTTTCAGGTTTTCCTTTTAATAAAAACTGAATTTTAATTCAGAAAGTACTTATCAGGGTTTCCTTTTAATTCAGAAATAACTTTTCAGGGCTTACTTTTATCAAATACTTACTTTTAATTCAGTATGTACTGTTTAGGGTTTCCTTTTGGTAAATACTTACTTTTAATTCCGAAAGTAACCTTCCATTTCTAGAGTGGAATATACAATTCACAACGGTACCCTGAAAAGCTATTGAATGCATGACTGAGATATTTATCGTCTTCTCTTTAAATATTGTTTATTTTTACTCGTGACTGGCCCATTTCTGCATCAGATAAATAATAATTGCTAGAATTAAACACTTTTCAAGTTATAAAAACGAAGATATCTTTTGCATTATTGATCTGATAAAAGTTTATAGGGTGAATCAGGCATGGCACTGCTTAAAGGAAAGTCCTGATGTTAAAGTTTTCTTGTATTAATATAAACAAAAATAAGAAAATAAAATGTTTGAATAGAATTGAGTGGGGATGGGAGGAAGTAAAATGGAAGCGGGACATTATGGTCACTTTAAACAACATTTATATCAGATATAATGTTTGCTTGAAATGGATTGCACACTGTATATCTGTATATCTAGAGATACAACCAACACATTAAGAATTAGAACCAAAAATAAGCTTTATATAAAGTGTGTCTTAACAAACATGATAAGTTTATATAGATTAAAAATTGCTTGCCATCTCCTTGACATATTGGACTAAATTTTACGGATCATTTTCATTTGAAAGAACCCAAGTTTTCTTAACTGCAACTAACAAAGAAGCTTGGTTAAATTTTTACCACAAACTTAAATTTTCTTATCCCTGAATCTTTGCAACCTAGTGCTGTAAACCTTTGATATTTCAAACTTGAACTAAAATAGTTCATAGTTTGAAATATCAGAGGTCGACATTTGGTTGCTTTAGGTATGTAGATATTAAAAAATTAAAGTTGGTGGCAAAATCTCTATTCCTTGAAAAGGTCTTACACCTCTTTTTAAAGATACTTAGTCATTGAATAACTATCGTAAATAAAAGATGATCATTAAGATGTGTTTTGATTATTATTAGCGGTACACACTGTAAATCCGTTCTTCCTTGAGAACTTACTTCATTTAGGGATGGGCATCATAGTTCCTTATATTTCCGTTGGGTTTATTATAAAAGACAAATTTTAGATCAGGGACAACGAGTTAAACAAAAAACAGTTTTGTAATTATAATTTTAACAAATTGAAATCTATGAGGAGAAAATAAAAAATTCGTTCACACTCAACTCCAGATTAAAAGGAAGAGACCGAAAAACGTCAGATTGTTGTCAAATGAATCCTAAAACTTTTCTCTATAATACTTCACTCTCGGTTAAAATAGGTTACCTAGCGGTCTCTCCCTTAAAAATGGATGGATTTTAGAAACAAATTGTAGCAATTGCAAGAATATGTACGCTTAGTTTTATTAAAAAACCCCAGCCTTCTTTCCTTTTCTCTATCTTACGTTTGTATGTCAATTATTTGTCTTGTCCTCCCTTTGTATTTACTTCCGTAGTAAAGTCCCTCTTTTGTCTAGTTCTTCCTTTGTATGTCCTTCCTTTGTATGTCCTTCCTTTGTCTAGGTCTTCCTTTGTAAGTCCTTCCTTTGTCTAGGTCTTCCTTTGTATGTCCTTCCTTTGTCCAGTGCTTCCTTTGTCCAGTCTTTTCTTTGGCCAGTACTTTCTTTGTCTTGTCCTTCCTTTGTATTTACTTCCGTTGTAAAGTCCTTCCTTTGTCTAGTTCTTCCTTTGTATGTCCTTCCTTTGTCTAGTTCTTCCTTTGTCCTTCCTTTGTCTAGTTCTTCCTTTTTATGTCCTTCCTTTGTCTAGGTCTTCCTTTGTATGTCCTTCCTTTGTCTAGTTCTTCCTTTGTATGTCCTTCCTTTGTCTAGGTCTTTCTTTGTATGTCCTTCCTTTGTCCCATGCTTTCTTTGTCCAGTCTTTTCTTTGACCAATACTTTTTTGCCTTTCCTTTCCTTTGTCCCCTCGTTTCTTTCACTGTCCTTCCTTACTTTTCCTTCTTTTCTTTGTCTTCCTTTCTCTGTCCTTCCAGTAGTATGGAAGGTAGACCTATATGGGTTCTACTTTCCATACTACTCCTTCCTTTCTCCGTGTATCTTTGTCTCTCCTTTGCTCTGTCATACAGTTGTCCTATCCTAACTTTGTCTTTCTTACCTTGTCCAGTCCTTTCCATGTCCTGATGTATGTGTCTCTCCCTCGTATGTTTAAATATACAAGATCACTTAGTTCCATATAACTTAAACACTTACTATGCTTTGAAGAGTGATGAAAGATGACTGGAATTGACGCTCATGATGAACTAATAAGAAAATGGCGGAAACTGATCACGTGGTCACGTGTCCGTGAACACGTGACACTTTGTCAGCAGCTCTTTGCCAAACTATTCTGAAAGAATCCCTATATTATGTAGTATAAATCAATCATTTGCATAACTAGAAAACATAAAACCATAAAAACTGGTTTGTCTTTTTTAGTAATAAAAACATTATTTTTGTCTTTCCTTTGATTCCGTTTAAACTGACCATTCATGCGTATAAATCAATTTAGAATTTGCTGAACTTTTAAATTTTTGCAAACATGCATAATATTGCAGAATATTTCTTATGTAATATTTCACAGTGTGGTGTGGGGGGGGGGGGCATTGATAAAAACTTCATTACGAAAATGCATGGTGAAAACTTCTTTAAAAAAATACAAGATAAAAATTGCATAATGAAAATGAATGATAAAAACTGCATTAGGAAAGTGCTTAATAAAAACTTCAGTAGAAAAATGTATTCTAAAAACTTCATTAGGAAAGTGCATGATAAAAACTTCAGTTGGAAAATGTATTATAAAAACTTCATTAGGAAAATGCACGATTAAAACTTTATAGAAAAATGTATGATAAAAACTTCATACTAAAAACTGTATTGGGAAAATGCGCGATAAAAAACTTTAGCGTTTTTTGTTTTAAAAATTTTCCCATTATCCCATAACTGGATGAAAGCTTGCCTCCTGTATTTAAAAATTTAAGCTAAGAGACAAGCCACATTTCCATTCATGTATATATGTTCAATGTACATCTATATATATAAAGTAGTAATCTCTATTTGTCTGTCTGTTTGTATTTACGATCATAACTCAGGAACCCCTTGATCGATTTGTCTCAAACTTTGATTGGGGAACTCGGTAAAAGCATAGGAATGTGCTTTACTTGTTTTAAAAATCTATGCTTAGTGGGTCGACTTTTATAGTGAAAACTCCAGACAAGTTTCCAAGCTAGTATCTATATATATAAAGTTGTAAATGTAATATCCTCTGCTTGGATACGTCTATTTGTATGTCCGATCGTAACTCACGAACCCTTTGACCGATTAGCCTGAAATTTTGATTTGGGAACTTCTAAGAACCAAGGGAATATTTTAAGTTTAGTTTAAAATAAATCCTATGTTGATTTGGTTGACTTATACAGGGAAAAATTAGATTCTACGCAAAGCTGGGTTCCCAAGCTAGTAGACCATACCATATATATATATATATACATATATCTATATATATATATATATATATATATATATATATACATATTTCGGTGCTATGCTTTTTTATTATAAATACTCAGGAATAGTTTGTTTCTCTAATCAATAATGATAAAAATACATCTGTTCTTCTCTCTGTTATACACTCTCTAACTAAGGGATGACAATTTGATCCAAACAATTTTCAAAAAATGTTCTATTAGCGTGCAAATGAACAAATTATTTGATTATAATAATGATTGCTTTAATCAAACCAAGATGAGAGTGAAAGATTAAAAAATTAAATACTTTATTCGAGGTAAATTGTTTTAAACTCCCACAGCAATGACGAGATACAGGGCCTCAGGTTGGTTTAGAGGACAATAGAGGACAATAGAGGTCACACCTGTGTCATGTAGTGTACAGACCTCCACCAGCCTTCAGCCTCCCTCCACCAATAGAGGTTAACCAAGTCCTCAGTGTTAATTATAGATAATTAATATATATTTTGTTTAGATTTTTAATCGCATTTAAAGGGACTGTTTTTGTAGTTTTAACTGAACCTCCATTTAAGGAAGGGATTCCCGAATACAACGGTACCCTTTAACCAATAATCTAATCAATCTTTTCTAGCTTGAAAAGTGTTTAATTCGGTTAATTTCTCTTTGGTTCTGAAGAAAGAAATGCGCAAGTCACATGGAATTCCATTGGAAGGAGCTGTCGTATCTTGAAGCTTTAAGTTAATCCAATCAATGACGTAGAAGATAACGTTTTTTTTTCTAGCTTTAAGGTGTTTAATTCTATTAATTTCCCCATGGTTTATGAAACAAGAAATGCGCAAGTCACAATCATGAGAAGCCACAAATAAAAATTATCAGTTTTAAAAAACAAAACATGGATTCATCAGACAAAGGTTTTTAAGGGTACAGTTGTGAATCGAACACAGAACTCTGTCAATAGATTTAAGGATTAGAAAATTAAAGTTTGAATTGTGCAATTATCTGTTTTGTTTTTTGTTCATTAAGTTTTTAAAAATATAGAAGCGTCGCCTATGTTGTAACTTGGTTTATTGATTACCAATCTCTTTCTTTAGTTTATCGACACTGAGTTTTCTAATCTTTATATTTTTTAAAGTTTAATCCGTGCTCAATCTAATTCAAACAAGATTTGCCGGGTCACAGAGAAAAGTTAAATATTTTGACTGGGAAATGTTTAGAACTAATATGGTACTTATAAATTGCTAATGTTTTTGAGAAGAACTCCTTTAAAGTTAAATCTACTGTTCAGATTTCCAATCTGGCAACATGGAAACCAGTATGAAATGTGTCAAATACTTGCTCTTCGCCTTTAATCTTTTATTCGCGGTAAGAAAACCATATATCAACAAAAAAAAATTAAATGGTTTAAACAATTTTTTTGTTTGGTTTTAGTTGTCTGGTCTTCTTCTTATTATCACAGGAGGTGTCGTACAGGGGGCGTACAGGTGATAGTTTACTCTTTGAATTTTCTTGTACATACGTACATCCTTTTAGAAATATAGTACATATTTTGGTACATAATACTGTATAAATACATCCATCTGAAGGTTGAGAATTTTATCTGGGGTTTTAATATTATTTTAAGGGATTTGGCAACAAATTAATCAAGTTGACTGCTTGCTAAATGTATAAAAATTATAATATAATTTATATGAAGTCTATAACCCCGTGTGACTTGCGAGTAACCCTGCGTTCTGTAGCTGGATGATGTCCCGCATATTTACAAATATATTTTTTAGATAAAAGATCTAAAAGATCTAAAAGTCGTCTTCGTATTTCACATTATATTTATAAGGTTATTTTTCTGTTAGATCAAAATATCTTACTTTGAAATGTCAATGGTCTTCATCATTAGGTGGCAAAGATATAGGGATTAGAAAACTTGAGTTTGTGGCAAAAACTCAATTCTTTTATCAAGATGAATAAAAAATATTCCCACCAAATAATTTTTGTCCTGTTCAAAATGGATGTTCATGATGATAATATTTAGATTTTCTCTTGAACCAAATCTAAAACTTCTTCAAAGAAAAATGGGATATAAAAATTGCCAGAGAGAGCCAAATATCCCTCCACTAAGCTCTGTTTAAAAAAAACATGATGTTTTTAGTCAACGCAAAGTAAAAGTTTGTTCGTCACATAAAATTTCGAAATATTACCTTTACAAATATATTCAGTGAATACCTTGACTTCCTGGGGGACAGCTTCTTCAACACCCCGGTGTTCCTTAGCGTGGTTGGGTGCATCATTTTCTTCGTAGCTTTCTTCGGCTGCTGCGGGGCAATCAAGGTCAATCCAATTAAAAAAAAAAAAAAATTCTTAAATATGGTAACATCAATAAAAAAATGTTTAACAGAAAAAGAACTTTTCCGAAATTTGAATTTTGAAAAATATTGTAAAATATTAATTTTGTAGGAGAATCAATGTATGACCTTAACCTTTGGAATTCTACTGGGCATAATCTTTCTTATGGAAATAGGGGCTGGCATTGCAGCATATCAATTAAAGGGACAGGTAGACAATCTTTCATAATATTAATTAAAGGGACAGGTAAACAATCTTTCATAATATAAATTAAAGCGACAGGTAGACAATCTTTCATGATATCAATTAAAGGGACAGGTAGACAATAGACAATCTTTCATAATATCAATTAAAGGGACAGGTAGACAATCTTTCATGATATCAATTAAAGGGACAGGTAGACAATCTTTCATGATATCAATTAAAGGGACAGGTAGACAATAGGGAACGGTAGACAATCTTTCATAATATCAATTAAAGGGACAGGTAGACAATCTTTCATGATATCAATTAGAGGGACAGGTAGACAATCTTTCATAGTATCAATTAAAGGGACAATCAATAAAAGGGACAGGTAGACAATCTTTCAAAAATTTCAATTAAAGGGTCAGGTAGACAATATTCCATAATATCAATTATAGAGACAGGTAGACAATCTTTCATGATATCAAGTAAAGGGACAGGTAGACAATCTTTCATAATATAAATTAAAGGGACAGGTAGACATTCTTTGATGATATCAATTAAAGGGACAGGTGGACAATCTTTCATGATATCAATTAAAGGGACAGGTAGACAATCTTTCATAATATCAATTAAAGGGACAGATAGACAATCTTTCTAAATATAAATTTAAGAGACAGTACACTAAAAGAAATGTCAAATTTTGTTCTAACAAAATTTGCTGGAGCACCGGAGCCAAATTCAACTTAGTAGCATCCTTTGTCAAATGCTGAATGGTAAATTTCATCTAAAAAAAAGTGAGTGTAGGCAATTTTTCATGATATTAATTAAAGGGATAGGTCGTCTTATATCGTATTCAATGTTATAGATGAACGTACTGATTGAGAAGAATATGGAGAAGGGAATGAAGAACTATAAACAGCCAGGATACGAGGGAGTCACCAAAACCTGGGATATTATTCAAAGAGAGGTGAATACTGAACATGAAGAATATACAGGGTTTGATATAAATAATGAGAATCCTTAAACTGCTCGAGGGTTTTTTACAGTCGTCTTTTAAAGTTCTATCCTTTGTGGGTAACCCTGTAATTAAATAACCAATATTTGACAATATTTTTAGATGCGTTGCTGTGGAGCCCAAGAATTCAGGTAACATCATATTAAATAGTTCACAAAAATCACTGACAGTCCCTTTAATTTTCATCTTTATGTCAACCTAACTAGGGACAGGGGAAACAGTCTCTTTAATTTTCATCTTTATGTCAACCTAACTAGGGACAGGGGAAACAGTCCCTTTAATTTTCATCTTTATTTCAACCTAACTAGGGACTGGGGAAACAGTCCCTTTAATTTTCATCTTTATGTCAACCTAACTAGGGACAGGGGTAACAGTCCCTTTAATTTTCATCTTTATGTCAATCTAACTAGGGACTGACAGTGCTTTTAATTTTCATTTTTATGTGAACCTAACTAGGGACTGGGGAAACACTACGTTCTCTGAGAAGACTAATGTTCCTGATTCCTGCTGTTTATCGGATATTGTCGACTGTGGAAAGTCGGTGCTCACTGAAAATGATTCGAAGGTGAACAAAAGATGGCGAATTTTCTCAATTTTCAAAAAATAAGAAATATGAAATATTCAAAATTATTAAACAAATATTTTTAGATTGCTCAATAAAACTCTTCTTAGCACCTTGGGGATTTATAATCAAATTTGAATTTTTACAAAGAATTTTTTCTGCTTTAAATTATTAGCAGTATTTCCATCGATTTATTTTATTTTGTAATAAAAAAAAACTTGGAATATTTTTTGCAAAAAATGTCTTTTCTGGTTATTACTCGTCTCTACAAGAAAACTTTTTCTGATTGAAACGATTAATGAAACGACTGAAAAGAATTTAAGGTAAAAAACAAGCAATACAATGTTTGATATCATTTGAACTTAGTTTGAATAATTTTAAATCTTTAGATTCTACTTCAGTTATTGATAAAAGAATTGTATTTTCTGAATTAAAATGCTATAATTTCTTAAAATTTGTGCATTTGAGAAACCTAATTAGCCGTAAAACATTTAAGTTTAGTCATTTGATTATGCTTGATAAATTCAGTAAACTTGTTCAAATATTTCAATCAAAATATAAGCATTCTAACTGGCGAACGCTCTGATTACTAAGCTCAAGAATGTAAGGCAAGGAAAGTCAATTGCGGTTGTGTATACTCTGTGTACATATTGAAACCAGTTCTCTCTGGGCGGAATTTGTAAACAATAATAGATGCATCAGTGTTCGTTTAGTATCCGAGGAGGTTAAAAGATTAAATTTTGATAATTTTGATAATTCACATAATAATTTCCTATGACCAGAATATTTCATTGATTTTTTATGTGAATGATGGATCCCATGTCAGGCTTCGACATCCGTCTTGTGTTTACATTAGCGCCCAGAGACAGTGCACTGCAGTACTGAAGATGTGTACAGTTCTGAAATGACTTTCCTTGCCTTACATCCTTGACTAAGCTGATCAATTTATAAGTATTTTTTTCAAGATTTACAAGAAATATGACATTTTGAGTGAAAATATACGTACTGTAATTTTCTTAAATGTCATTATTTTGATTAAAAAATTTAGTTTGCATTACATTTGTAAACTTAAGGACGGGCTTAGAGGTTAAGAAAATTAATAAATACCAATTCGCTATTAAAAATATAATGCGTGCAGAAGTTTTTTTTAAAAGAATAAAAACCTGATTTTCCACCTCGCCTATAATAATGTAACACTTAAAAATCTAACTTGATTATAGAAGTCTAATGATTTCAGGCTGCTATGAAGATCCACCTTGGAGGATGTTTTGAAACCTTCAGTACCCAGATACAGGAGAATGTTGCTGTACTTGGTGGAGTTGGTATCGGGATCGGGTTTATGCAGGTTATAGTGTGTCTTGTTAATCCTTAGGATCAGTTTTTCTTCTATATATTAATTAAGCTTGTCTGTCTGTCTGTTTGTTTGTGTCCAATAAACGTCTAAACGGCTGAACCGATCAGGCCTAAATTTTGTGAAAATGCGCGAAAAAATAATATGAAATACGCAATTTTTTAAAGTTTATACTCTTCAAAGAGAAAAAATTTAAGTAGAAATGGATTCGTTAAAAGTTGAGAAATGCTTTAATATGCCCTTTTAATTAAATTTTTTCTTTTTTGTCATTCTCTTGAGACGTAGAGTGTGCAAAATCTAGTATATCGTATAGTCAGCATTAATATTCCGAACATGGAAAGTTTATATACCTGGATGTGAAAATACTGTAACTTAAACATACTCTCAAGATTTAAACCCGTTCATGCAAAGTCTATAATTCTGCATACTCTTTGAATTTATTAACCCCATATATTTCAGTTTTTGGGGATGGTGTCTGCCTTCTTGCTTGCCCGAGCCCTCAAGAAAGAATACGAAACTGTTTAAACACATTTAAAACCATTTTAACAACATGCTTTCTTTAACAATTCCTTCTTGGATACTTTTGCTTGACTGTAACAATTTTTAATCACCAATTTAATTCAATATATTCAGATTTTTTATGTATTGTTTTTTATTGCACATTTGATGGATTGATCACACAAACCTCTTCTTACGTTTTGTATTTCTGCATCGCAATTTTAAAACAATTTGTTTATACTTGCACCATTTTATGCATAAACTTAATGAAATATATTACTCTTTTCTTTCTTTTTCATATGTTTGTTGATTTTTTTGTTATAAATGGATAGAAATAAACTGACTTACTTTGTAAAGGGATAAGAAGTTGTACAAACAGAAAACAAAAATACTCTCAATTTGTATTCAATCTCTATAGAAAGAGAGAAAGAAATCCTAGGGGCAACTGAATTCTTTTTTTTTGCAAGACAGTTCCTTTGCAAGACAGTTCCTTTGCAAGACAGTTCCTTTGTAAGACAGTTCCTTTGCAAGACAGTTCCTTTGCAAGACAGTTCATTTGCAAGACAGTTCCCTTGCAAGACAGTTCCTTTGCAAGACAGTTCCTTTGCAAAACACTTCCTTTGCAAGACAGTTCCTTTGCAAAACATCCATCTAAATCTTAAGTTGTTAGTGTAAATCATTTTTCTCTTTTTTAAAACTATTTTGAAGTGACTGTAATGGCCACAGCATCTTACAAAGTTTTTTTTATAAGAATTGGTTCCTGAATGAATCCACTTTTTATAAATAATACAAAGTTCAAAATGCAATTAATAGATTCGAGAAATGCTGCCTGTCTGTATGAAATTTATTTCAGCGCAAAAAAATCACATGAGCTGAAAATTTCCTGTGAACCTCAGAAAGGTATTTGTAAGGTAAAAATTCGTTTGGGTTCCTAAAGTCATCATGATAAGCTCAAAATTATAGATTATGAGCTAAAAAAAAATTGGAAATATTGAATTTGAAGCGATTAAATATTTCATATGGTTATTTTGTGATATATACAACATATTTATGTTGCCTATAAATCCCACAAAACGGATTAGTGTTTTCTTACAGGATTAACAGTTCAAAAGTTTCTACCTATAAATGTTTAACCCCACCAAGAAACTAGTTTTATCAAAATAATATCAAAAAATGTAAACAAAGGTCAACTGAAAGTTGTTCTTTTACCTGAAACCAGTTCCTGCTAACAGTTATGAAATGTGTGAAATTACTATCCCCCCTCCTTACATCTATATACACCCTGGGATTTCTTAGGTATCTATTTGTATTACAGGGTTGGCCGGGTCTTCTCACATATTTCTAGATTTTAAGATTGGATCTAAAGGTTGGCACCAGGACACTAGGAACACACAAAAGAATAGAAATTGCCGCCATACTGTTCCATTCTTCTATACCCGTCTAATTTCAGGGGAACCCCCCCCCCCACACCACGCTCATAAAACTGTTTAAGTGTTTCAATTAAAAGTTGAAGCCTTTGACAGAAATGAATGAGTTCACAAAGCGTAAGAAAAAGTGTATTTACAACCTAAAAAAAGAAGATAATATTCCATACTACAATTATTGGAATCAAACTGGAGCTTTTGACGGATCGTCCGCCTTTCTTCCGCCGCATATAGCAGATCAACCTTCCGCCTTTGATTCTTCGTCGATACTACTGCCTCATTCGGCTTTAGTCTAGGAAAATCCTATTCATGTCACCTCTGGGAGCCGGATCATTGGCCTGGGTTTAAACTAGAACATGAGGTCAACGTTGGCTTGGGTTTTCCAAAAGGATTCACCGACAAAGGGTCAAACGACCCAGGGTCAAACGACAAAGGGTCAAACGACACAGGGTCAAACGACACAGGGTCAAACGACACAGGGTCAAACGACAAAGGGTCAAACGACAAAGGGTCAAAAGTGTGACAAAGGGTCAAACGACAAAAGGTCAAAATGATAAAAATATTTTTTGATTTGAATCATAGGAAACTCGCAATTTTAATCACAAAAATCCACCAAACTTTTTTGAAGATTTAAAACTTTAGTCTGATTCTGGCTTCCATAATGGTCGGGTTGGCAATATAATTGACCATGTTGCCGCAGCGCTCGGCCCCCTAGCCTGTCCTAGCCGCAGCGCTTGGCCCAGAAATTTTCTTAACTAACCTAACCCGTGGCCGCAGCGCTCGGACCCCAGGCCTGTCCTAGCCGCAGCGCTCGGCCCAGAAAGTGTCTTAACCTAACCTAACCCTAAATAATAATAAATAAATGGATATAATTGACCATGTGGCCAAAGCGCCCCCCTGTATACGCCCTTGGTACAATTGCAATTACAATTTCATTTCATTGGACTATTTTAAATCCTAGCCTGATTTGACAGCACAATTGTTATTTGTACTTTTTACATTACACATATTACCATAGAGAATAGAATATATAGAGAGGAATTTACTGGAAAAAAGTGTAAAACGGCCATTTTGTTGTACTGTTTCCATACTGCAGGTGTACTTCACATATTTATGCTATATAACCTGTTGGGCCCTTTGAATATCATTTTATAGAAAATCTAAAATTATTTGACCAATTATCATTTCATATAGACTCTATGCCTTTCACTTTACAAACGAAGATTTTCCGTTATAACTATAAATCAAATGATGTTTTTATTCACCTAATTCATTATAAAGTTTATTTAACAGTTTAAAAAATTCGAAATTGAAATGAATAGTCTAGGGAACATACTGTAATAATGTACTCTAATGCATATAATTTGTAAACATTTACATTATTTGTACACTTTGAACTCCCTTTCAGGCTTAAAGGGACTGAAAAAATTCATACCGAGAGATTCTTTTAATTCCTCTCTATATATTCTATTCTCTATGCATATTACAAAGCTTTAATTAAGGAATCATACACATAAAGCTATACATCAATTTTATTTACTCTTTTCAAACAATATCATGGTTATTCATGTGATGCCTGTACTCCGTGAATATACTATAGTACCTTATACTTCAAACATAATTGTGGGGAAATTTTTGAAATTTCTTCAATTACTTAAAGGGTTTTAAAATGCTGTTGGAAATTTCATCTTAAAAATCCTTTGTTTACACTTTTAAAACTAGGTTTAAACTTGTACTCTATGTACAACTTTATCTGTACGCAATCTGAACAGTACATTAATATTCCTATCTTGTAGCAGTACAGTTGTTGTTCTTGTAGTGTGAGCAGTAACTATACTATATTTTATCTTCAATTATAATAATGGAATCAATCAAAAATGACTTTATGAGGAGTCCAGTTGGCAAAGGTAAGTTTTTTTCATAGTGTGGATGATAAAATATTGTAATTTTCTTGCTTGTCTAAACTTCTGTAACTGCAGTCGAAAGAAATCACAAAGAGTGGAAATGAAAAAAGAAAAATCGTCGATAGATCGCTCAAATTCTATAATACTAGGCTTTTAGGGTGCTTCGCGCCCATCTTATATTTCAACTTTTAATTGTGGCTTTATCTCTGAACATCTTCTCTTTGTACAGTATAAAACAAAAACAAAAAAAGATTTTGGATTTCATAATATTTTTTTGCGCATTTTCAAAATTTTTCAAAAATAAAAAACTTTTAAACGCAAATTTTTAAAATTTTGATCATTTATAAACCTTCCCTGGGGTCACGTGAGGTCCCACAAAAAATTTGGGCCCGATCGGTTCAGCCCTTTTGACGTTTATTGGATACAAACAAACAGACACCCAGACAAACAGACAGACAAGCCAAATGTATATATAGAAGCCTCTTTGCAACCTGAAGTTGTAAACCTTAGATATTCTAAACCTATTTGACCCTGCATAAGTCAAAGTTTGAAATAAATAAGGTCTACAATCCATATTATTAAGTTGCAACAATACAAAGATAGGATTAGATATTTAGGAGATCATCAGAGATTAAACTTGTATGTAAGATAATTAAAATCCCCGTGTGAGATTTCGAATGAAGATTTAATTAATCTGCAGATTGACAAAAGATCGATATCTAGCATTGATCTTGATTACTACTTATGTTTCAAAAATTAATTGAAAAAATGTTCTTTTTTTGCAGGCTAATATCTATATTTCAGGACTTGAAAAGCTAAGAAAGATGGATCCGATATCTCCGTTCAGATCTCCAATAAGAAAGGTAAATTTTGTAACATTTTTGCACATTCTTTAAGTTATTTCCAAACGTTTTTATCTTTTCAAATCAAAATTCTATTTTTATTCAATATCTTCTAATTTATTTTCTAAGTATTGTGTAATTCCATCTTTAATTGGGTACACACCCTTTAAATCCTCTCTATATTGCCAAATTCTTTACCATTTCCCATTTGGAGTCATCATATCTATATCATTAATCGGATCTAATTACTTAAACTGCATATATTCTGAAGTCACTTTTATGAGAACAGCAATTGGAAATTATTTATTTTGAGAAATTCCCATCATTTTTGATTTGTTATAGACAACGGTTTTAAGTTTAAGTTTACAGTCCCTTATTGACACAGACTTCAAATCTCTTATTCCAACTCTTTTTCTTTGATTCGCACTGTATCAATGTCAATGTGTTGTATCTTGAGTTCTTCTGTTTTCACTGTTTTTACTGTTTTTAGTCTGATTTTGAGGCCTTGAGCCCTGGGAATATTAAACAGTGGGGGCAGAGCTTATCCTTCACAAACAAGGTAGAACAATAGAAATATTTTTATTAAATTATTCGACAAATTTCGAAACTCTGCATATACATTCATAAGAAATCCTATCTTTATGATCTACTAATTACAATCTGATCCATCGAAAATATTAATAGAGCTTTGCTTGGATGAACAGGTATTCGGGATTCGCCTAGTCCTCTTATTTGCTGCCATATTGCATAGACGTCTTTCCACAGAAATCCTTTATAAACCTTTTAATTTCAAGGAGACCTAAATATTCCTATTAACAATAACAAAATTCTCAAGTTTTTAAGTAATTGACTTTAAAGTATGGACTTAAGTATGGACTAAAAGTGAAAGTAATTGCGATACTTTCGGAAGTATATTAATAAAATGCATAAATACAGATTAATCAATGAAATCATATTCATATTCATAAAATCATGAATTCTAAACATGTATCTTAGCTGGGCTATGAAAACACATCCTTTTTTTCTATAAACTTTAATCCTTTACACTGTAAAGCCATCCATGATCCAACCTTTAAAACTAATATGTCTTGAAAACCTAGTTAAAACCAACTTTAAGCTAGGCCTTTGCGCCATTTCGTTTTAAAACCATAAAATTGTCAATAATGCCAAAATGTTAGAGTTGGTAAAGATAACGTTTTTTATTTAGCGGAATCCCGGCGAGGAAATGTCGTCTTTATCCCTGAAGTTACGAGTTGAACCCCAGTTGAAGATTCGAATTATGGAGGAGACAGTTTCACCTTGTCCTACCGAGAAAAAAGGGACATTTAAATAACTAAGATTAAAAACTTGCTCTAATGAACTCTACGTTAATTTTGTATCCCCACATTCAAATTTTTGAAATATCCATATCGCGTCAGTGGTATTTTCTTTTTGCCCTTTTCAAATAAAATGATTAAATTTTAGAATTTTTTAAAGAAAAATTAATTTAAGTTTAAAAATGTCTGTTCAGGGCAGCAACAAACCAAACCACTGAGAAACATTTTAACTGAATCTTTAAGAGTTAAACGAACAAAACGTAAGCTCAATGTTTTGAACGAGGTAAGACATTTTTCATTTAAAGGGACTGTAGGCTTATTATCAAGTGTTATACACAAAGAGAATAGAATATATATTAGAGGGGAATTTACTTAAAATAATATTAAAAGTAAACCAAATCATGAAATAGGCTGGTTTCATAATTGACCAATGATCATTTCACATAGACTCTATGCCTTTCACTTTACAAACGATGATTTTCCGTTATAACTATAAATCAAATGATGTTTTTTATTCACCTAATTCATTATAAAGTTTATTTAACAGCTTTAAAAAATTCTAAATTGAAATGAATAGTCTCGGGAACATACTGTATTAATGTACTCTACTGCATATAATTTGTGAACATTTATATGATTTATACACTTTGAACTCCCTTTCAGGCTGAAAGGGACTGAAAAAATTCCTCTCTAATATATATTCTATTCTCTATGGTTAAACATTCCATTTATATATAGTGGCACGCCCGATTCTCAATGGTACAAGCATGAATAAGATATCCATAATTTATTTTTCTTTAAAAATTGGTTTTCTATAGAAGTGACTTGCGTATTTCTGCTACAGAAATAATGGAGAAAATTATCTGAATTTACCCCACTAAAGCTAGAAAAACGAAGATATTTTTCTCATTATTTATCATGGTGTCAAGGGTACCTTGGTGAATCGGGCATATCCCTCTTCAAAAATGCCAATTTTTAGGATCGTGTTTATGAGCCGATTGATTTGAGTGTGGATCTCTGTGATAAGTTGGATGAGCGTGTAACTAAAATCCCCAAATGTGATATTTTCTCTGGCGGCCATTTTGAAAATCCCACGGGCGCAGCTGATGTCATGCTGAAACTTCACAATCTGGGAACAGAAGAGGATTCTTCTAAAATATTAATGAAAAATTCTGAATTATCCGCTTCTTTTATGCCCAAAGGTGCGGACGAACTTAAGATAAAAAGTTGTTGAAAAATTATTCCAATGTTTTAAAAATGCACAATGCATTTAAAATTCCTGTTTAGATTACTAAGTAATCACTAATGAAAAATGTATAAAAATGTTATCCCTCATTAGTAAAATGCATATATAATTATATATGGAATGATTTATTCTGTATTATTCTATTTTTTAAATTTTACTTTAAAGGGATTAATTATTACCAGAAGTCTAGAACATGATAAGTAACAACTTTTAAGTTATTTAATTTTATCCAGAAACAAATTGAGTCTACTTATTTTTTATTTATACTTAACTACTATAAATTTTAAATGGTAGAAAAGTTGTTTATCAAAGAGAGGTTCATAAAAATGTTGGCTTAAAATCCCTTTTTAGCTGTTTTATGTTGCTTAGTTTTATATATTTTATAATGTAAATACTGACTTGTACAGTAAAATAAATGTTGAGTAATAATAGTTTTATTTTTCCTTCTTTTATCCTAAGCTACAGGTTTAAGCTGGTCATTATATTAAAATGCAATTCATTCTGTAACAATCTAGGTCCCGATCAATCTCCCTATACTTGACTCTAACTCTAATGATCAGTCTCAAAGACACTATCTCTAGCCAAAACCCTGGCTCTATACGTCTGTCTAAAACGACGATTGATACTATACTAATTTATAGATACAGGTAAATATGAATTGACCGGCCTGGCCGGTTAGGGTCAAATAGAACACAGAGAATAGATAAGCAAAACATAGATAATAAAGATAGTAAACTAGATAAGCAAAACATAGATAATAAAGATAGTAAACTAGATAAGCAAAACATAGATAATAAAGATAGTAAACTAGATAAGCAAAACATAGATAATAAAGATAGTAAACTAGATAAGCAAAACATATATGATAAGGATGGTAAACTAAGCTTCATCCATTGAATTTATTACAACTCTACTTGGCTTCATTGTTATGTTCAGTAGAGAGAATACAAAAAAGTTAAGTCTGTCATTGTTTTTATGATTTGTATGCTGATTTTTAAGATACAGGGTGTTTCAATAAAAATGGGAATTGGGAGACAACTTGAAGATCGTTACCAATAGCTGTTAATGACGAAGAGTATCAAAAAAAGACTTAAACGTCTTATGGGCTTTTGAATATGTGAGAATGTGGTCTAGCTGCCTTCATAATGGGTTTCCAACGCAAGTGGATTTTACGTGCGCGCAACTGCGAGCCCTATAAATTCCTCGCAATTCCGCGCAATTCGAGAACAGTTGCGCGCAATGCCGTACAGTTGCGTGCAATTCTGCACAATTGCGCAGACAGAATTGAGATTGGAAACCATTATACATTGCACCTTCAAAATTGACGGAGACAAAATAATACATTTGAAAGATTTCGTTGTTATTTAATAAATAAGAATATGGAAAGATTTCTTCATTTCTCCGTTAATTTTGAAGGTACAAAGAAGTAATGGTACACCACATTTTAAAATTCCCAATGCAGCAGATTTTCGTTTTTAACCATTTAACTATAATACTTTAAAATTAAACGCGGAAAAAAGACGAAATAGAAGTCGCCATGCTTAATTTCCATTATTTAGTATTTATTTATGGGGACACCCTGTATATAATCTGAAATTAGAGATATAGATCTGAAATCATGTAAGGAATAAATACCGATGAATCTTGGTCTAAAACCTAATCGCAATTTTATCCTAGAGATATTTTCATGTATAAATGCTGATGGTTTAAAACATAATAACAGCATCATTTGCATATTGATTGTTTTAAGAAAAGCTTAAGTTTTTTATCTCAATTTTGCAAGATCATAAATTTTGATTGGGAAATTCGGGAGAACTATGATATGTTCTTAGCTTGGTTTTGAGATTCTAAGTTGAGTCCACTTCGTCCACTTTAATATGGAAAAATAGTTAAAATCGTAATTTACGACCAAGTGCGGGTAAACGGCGGGAGAAACTGTGAGTAACCTCGGTAACACAGGGTATTTCAGCTTATAGTGTTACAAATAAAGATAGACTGGCTATAGTAAGAAATTGATTGACAAACTCAAAGTAGAAAGTTTTTCTTTTTTGTATAGTTTGTAATCCTGGTTTAATTGAAACTAGTATATAGAGTATAAAACACATGTACAGAAAACAATTGATAGGTATTCTTTAGAAAAGGTAAGGCTGCAGTTTCTCACGATGACGTAGCAGGGAGGGGGGAAAAAGGGGGAACATTATCTGAGAAAAAACATAAGATAAAGTAAAAAATCAAAAGAAGGAAACAAAAGTAAAAAGAAATCTATTTTTTACACCCCTGATCACATTCAGAAAGGGGGCTAACCGCACCCCCCTGAAAAAGTGAAAATTTTTCTGTTTTTAAACCCCCCCCCCCCCCTCTGGACAGCTCTGTAAAAATTGTTTAGAGGTGATCTTTAATAAATATATATTAAACTAAGAAAAATCCAAAATATTTTCTTTATTCTAGCCATTTTTTCGCGTGCTGTTAAAGGAAACTTGATTTTTTAAAGCCATTTTTTAATCTGAGAGTTAAAATTTTCGCTAAATCCTCATTTTTACCTTAGAATAATGCTTTATATCATTTTGGAAATAAATATGATCTACTGATCTTAACGGAAAATTAATTAAAAATTGCATTGTTTAACAATTCGTCAATTAATTGGCAAATTTAGTTAAACATTTTTTGATTTTTCTGCTACGCACTTATACACGTCAAGACCAACACCTATAGCAACTGAAAAAAATATTATTTTCATTTTTTCTGTTTTCTGTTTTCTGTATGGTGTATTGTTTCACCTAAAAATACCAAAGTCTCTATATAGGTATACATATTAACAGATATTTTTACGTATAAATACGTATGCTCAACTTTTGGGTAAAGAGCTTGCGTATATTTACGTATTTTTACGTATTTATCATACCAAGCAATTTTTTTAAATGCTTTGGTTTTCCAGAACGTATTTATACGTATACTTTTTACCAAGTAATTTTTCTAAATTTTTAGGTTTTTATTTTAAGTATTTTACGTATTTTTTAGGTTTTTCTTTACTTAAAAAAGTGTATTTTTTTTTCGAGTTTAAATTAGTTTGATGCAAAGCTAAAAATACGTATATTTTTGTAAATTTCATACCAATAAATTTTTCATTAAATAAGTTTTTAGGTTTTTATTTTACGTATTTTTAAGTATTTTAAAGTTTTTTCTTAACTTAAAAAATCGTATTTTTTTTAGAGTTTAAAAGTTTGATGCAAACCTAAAAATACGTATAATTTCGTAAATTTCATACCAAAATTTTTAGGTTTTTATTTTACGTATTTTTACATTTTTTTAGGGTTTTTCTTTGCTTAAAAAGTTGTATTTTTTTAGAGTTTAAAAGTTTGATGCAAACCTAAAAATACATATATTTTCGTAAATTTCAAACCAAGTAATATCTCAAAGAATTTAGGTTTTTATTTTACGTATTTTTACGTATTTTTTAGGAATTTTCTTTACTTAAAAAGGTTAATTTTGTTAGAGTTTGAAAGTTTGATGCAAACCTAAAAATGCGTATATTTTCGTGAATTTCATACCAAGAAATGTTTCAAAGTTTTCAGGTTTTTATTTTACGTATTTTTACGTATTTTTTAAAAAGTTTTTTTTTAAGAGTTTCAAAGTTTGATGCAAACCTAAAAATACGTATATTTTTGTAAATGTCATGCCAAGAAATGTTTCAAAGTTTTTAGGTTTTCATTTTACGTATTTTTACGTATTTTTTAGGGGTTTCCTTTACTTAAAAAGGTGTATTTTTTTCGAGTTTAAAAGTTTGATGCAAATCTAAAAATACGTATATTTTCGTAAATTTCATTCCAATAAAGTTTTCAAAGTTTTTAGGTTTTTATTTACGTATTTTTTAGGTTTTTTCTTTACTTGTCAATATATTCACGAAACCTCAACTGCACAAATTTTTACATACGCATTTTTACGTTTGTGAAATACGTATTTTAACCAAAGAAATGGTTACGAAAATACGTATGTCATCGTATGGAAAATTCATATTTTTACGTATTTTTACGTATTCCTTAACCTAAAAATACGTATATATACGTATGTCATACTTATTTTTAAGTTTTCGGGTTAGTAGGGATGATTCGAAACATATTTTTTTCAAATGCTTATGGGTTGGCCATTTCTGAAGATATAAGAATAAATTATCACATTTTAGAAACATTACACCATAAAGAAACCAGAAAAAGTGAAAATAACAAATTTATAAGTTGCTAAGGTGGTGGCTTTAAGGTGTAAGTTAGGGTTTGTAGCGAACGAAACGTTTCGCGAAAAAATGCGAAAGTTTTCGTTCGTATTTTGCCAACTTTTTCGCGAAATTTCACATTTTTTCGCAAAATTGAATGAAGCCAAAAATGCGAAAACGAAGCGAAATTTTGAAGAAAAAAATCATTTTCAACATCTAGGTGTTGAAGCTGGATTTTGTCTCTTTTGATGAATATACGCAAATATTTTGCATTTTTTAAATTCCGAAATTTTTCACGCATTTTTTGACATTTTTCCGCGCAATTTTCGTATTTCTTATTTCGCGGAACAGATTGCAGAATCGAAGTTTCGCATTTTTCGCGATCGAACGAAATGTGGCGTATACAAGGTTTTTTTGGGGTTTTTTTACCCCACCCCCACCCTAGAATCCTGGGGGTAATTACCCCCCCCCCCCTCCCCTTGAATCTTCGGGACACATTAACGTCCCCGTTTAGAAACTTGATCTCCATTCTCCATGTCCACTCCATGATTACCATTAAGAGGAAAAATATAGACAAATTTTTTAGCGCTTCGCACAGATAATTTTACTCAATCAACTTTAACAAAGTAACAAAGATAAATTTTACCAAACAATCGATTTTTTAATTTATATAGAGTACTTGCACTATATGTCATATTAGATAAATAATTAAAGCTGTAACGGCAGGATGGGGGGGGGGGGGTAAAAAGTTTAAAGATTAAGATTATTTAGAATTAAATTTTAAAAAGTAAGAAAGTATAAGTTTCAAATTTTTGCTGGGTGATTGGATTTTGACTTAGGACAAATTTCATGAGAAACACTCTCCAAAGGCAGTCTCTGCATGCATGTATAAAAATATTTTTTCCAGTATAAATTTATAAGACCCTTAAATTATAATTGGCATGGTAGTTTTTGATGAAGAACCTACCAAAAAAACATTTGCATCCACTCCTCTTTCATGTCCTTAATATCTTCTTTATGAAGAATATTCTTCAAAACAATGCAATGCATGCATGTTCCTAGGGCACAGCCCACAGGTGGCTGATCATTGCGGATTCTCCACTTGGTGGATTTGCTATATTTCATAAGCTGTTTAAAAAGACTCAATTTATAATGGACAACGTTTAGGGTATAAATTAAGAAAGCTGAAAGGTGGTAAAGGCAGCCTTTTATTTGAGAGTGTATTAATCCCAAAATGATTGGGAAATTGAAATGAAACCCAGCTAAAACCTATAATAGTTTGATTAGAGGAATTACTAATTAGAGGGAATGAGCTGCCTAGGAAATTTGTTATAATAATTGAGCATAATAAGAAAATAAAGATAAAAAACGAAATTGATCAGCAAATTATGTCTTGGCCCAAGCAAAGAGGATAAAAAGAAGAGTATGATGAGCGAAACAATAACAATTGTAGGAGTAAAACCGCGATCTATTTTTTTATTTTAATTTCAGAGAATATGACCCAAGCACATTGACAATTTCTTTTAAAAGTACGTGATTTGGAAAATTTGCTTTATATAGTCATAGATATTTAACCCCTGTTCCTGTTTTTTTCAGAATTAAAAAGAAATCCCCTGACTCATTTTATTTCCTTAGTATAAGCCATTCTTTAGAGTTCTGAACTGTAAGTTTCCACCGGTTGAACCTTACTGTGTTATAGCACTGTGTGTGTAATACGACCTTAACAGGTATTCAACAGTACCAAACCAAACATTGTTCGAATGTGTTGGAGAGAGAAAAGGGAGGGGGCTCAATTTTTAGTTATTTTGCCCCATTTATGGCGATTTTTGACTCGAACGATGATACGCAATGATTGAATTGATTGTTTTCAAAATTTTCCCGGCCATGATTCATGAAGATTTTGTTTTCTTTCAGATTTGGTAACGTCAAGTTTGTGACTACTTCTAAAATGTATAAATGAAAAGTGAGTTGTGGTTCATAAGTTGTGCATCGATAATAAAAAGAGACAAATAAATCAGAAATCGTATAAATATTTGTTTGAAAATATATTGGTGAAGAGAGCAAGTGAGATTAAAGGACAATGGAGGCGATAGCTAAACATGATTTTAATGCTACTGCTGATGACGAATTAAGCTTCAGGAAACATTTTAATTTAAAAAATTGTCTTTTGAATTTTGGACCCCCCCCCCTCTTATCAATTTTTTTACACTTATTTTAAAGCAAAATTATTATTTTTTTTTTTATTTTAGGGTCAGGTTAAGACATTTTCTGGGCCGAGCGCGGCGGCTAGGACAGGCTAGTGGGCCGAGTGCTATGGCTAAGGGTAGGCTAAACCAGTCTACGGGACCGAGCGCTGTGGTCACATGACCAATGTGTTTCAGACGAGATCCATGTACTAAATTGGGTAATTTCCCAGAACGATTTTTGGACCGCCCCCCCCCCTCTTATCAGTTTTGTACATGGATTTTATATGTATCACGGATACAATTGGTCATATGGCCGCAGCGCCCGGCCCCCTAGCTTGTCCTTACCGCGGCGCTCGGAACCCTAGCCTGTCCTAGTCGCAGATCGTTCCAGAAGTTGTCATAACCTAACCCTGAAATAATAAAATAAATAGATGTGTGTGCGTGTTCGGCTTTTTTTCATTTCGTTCGTTCATCGTTCATGAACGGCCCATTTCGTTCGTTTTTTATCGTTTAAAATTATCGTCCATTTTCTATCTATTTCGTTCGTTTTCTTACTGAACATTCTTTCAGGGTAATTTCCTAGTATACGATTTTTGGATCGTATAATAGGACGGACCCTTCATTCAGTATAATCGTTCGTTCAATGAAATCGTACCTTCAGAAAAAAAGTCGATTTCACAAAAGTTTTTATTTCTAAAATATCGTTAATTTTATAAAAACAAACTACTGTTTTTTTTCTAACGTGTGTTCGAAAAAAATGTTCGTTCTGTAAATAAACCATAATTTTTTTCATTTCTCTGTGAACGATCCATGTCGTTGGTCAATCGTCAGTTTTTTTTCTTAACGAAATCTCTTCTACATAAAATATCGTTCGATCTCAAAATGTTTTAAAAACTATGCCCATCTCCAACCACAGGCCCTTTAACGTTAAAACTACAATATTTGTACTGGTCAGGCGCTGGTTAATCTACTTGTTGGGGGTTTGAGGCTCGCTCTAAAATTTTGCTGATTTGTTACTTGACCAATATTTGATTGAATGTTGTTGGTTTGTCAGGAAACATAACATCTTGAAGGTTCTGAACAAGGAGGATGATATGAACTGGTTTAGGGCAGAGCTAGATGGTAGAGAGGGGCTCATACCTAGCAATTATATAGGTAACCAGCTGACAGGAGGATATTTTCTATATAAGGGTGTATATTTTCTTGAAAACTCATTCCCCTTTGAAAATCCTATTCTCCAGAAGTTAAATATTTTTGCTAAATTGGGAAAAATGATTTTTTGAGTAAAAAGTATGTATTGTAGAAAGAGAAAAAATTTACTTTTTGATGTTCAAATTTTTATTTTATTACCCCCAGATCTTTAATTTTTAAAAATTCTTAAAAATATACACCCCTAATCTTTGGATTATAATAATCGGATAATAAATGCGTTTGATTTATAATGGACTATTACTTCTGTCACAAAACTTATAAGGTCAAATATCAGTTAGGTATTCCTTAAAAAATGATACCTATGAATTATGTTGGTATTTCGCATAATCTCCTTTATTTAAATTTTTTAGATCAAAATTATGGGTTAAAAATTATTGATACATGGTCATTCAGAAATTTTATAATTATTAGCAACTACTTCACAGGAAAATTAAAGCAAATTTTACTTTACCAAGGGTTCCCAAGACCAATTTTGCATAAAAAATATCCAGAGCGCAGAGAGGGATGTTAAATTTTCCGAAAAGTAGTTGTACACATCTTTGTTTTGAGATGAAAATAATGCGCGAATTTCCCCCCGGAAACTTTGCAGAGCGGGTGGTTATTTTACACAACTGTCCCAAGGGATGTCAAGTAACTTAACCTCCCTCTGTTAGCCAGTAAAACGATATTTGTCAGAATTTTGATTAAAACTATGCAATAATTTACTTCTGTCGAAAGAAAACTTGCTGCCTTGACAAAAATCTTGCTGACAATTAGAATTATTAAAGGAATTTAATTAAGTCTGTTACAAAGGGTACTGCAAAGTGTGTTGTTAGCCCATATACAATAAAAAAATGAGAAAATTTAAGTACTGATTTATGCATTATTTGTAGAAATGAAACCGCACAGTTGGTACTACGGACGCATTACAAGAGCAGGAGCAGAGAAACTTCTTATGAATAAACACGAAGGAGCATTCGTAGTTAGGGTCAGTGAGTCTTCACCAGGCGACTTTTCTCTCAGGTAACTTTTAACATGATGTTGAATATGATTTTAGAACTGCGCTTTGTGCCCCTCGACATTGTAACAATTTTAGTTATTTAATGTTCCATGTTTCTTATTTATTGATTATCTGTCTATTTGTTTGTACTTCCTATTCTTTGGGGAATTCGGTAGAACCACAGAGAATTTTTTTTAGATTGTTTAACAATTCTAAGTAGAGTAAATTGACTTTTAGAGGAAACCTTAGTTTCTGGGCAGGGCTGGGTTCCCAAGCGGTTTCTTAAAAAAAACAACAACAATAAAAGCAATTCGGAAATTTATTTTTTAATTGTGAATAATCATTTTAAAAAGTTCAAAAGTGTAAAAAATGTTTAGTTCTTAATTCTTTCATGAACACCTGTTCTTTTTACTCGGTTATTATTTTTCTTTTCCTACATATTTTAAAGGTCTTCTATATTATCATGTTACTAAATTAAAAGATTTCATCTTATTTAATAATACATTTTCATAATCGAATATTTTTTTTAAGTATGGGGAAATTCTTGTCCTCAAAAATGTGGCCAGTATTTTTATCACATGTTGCATTTTTATCTTATTTTCCTATTTTGTATTTCCGTATGAATTATCAAAAAGTAAAACAGATACATACTTAAGATGATTTCTTACAAGCTGAACTCGCTTACTTTAGATTTTATTTTGTTAAGTCATCTCGGATTTTAAGTTTTAAGTTTAATCTGGTTATTTACTGTGTGAACTTTTAATTTGAGGATCAATTTTTTCCATTTCAGTTATTCCTTAACTGATTAAATCTCCCTTCAATCCCTGACTGGGTACGATTACCATGCGAAATCTGCAGATCAACAAAAGATCATAATAAAGCATTGCTCTCGATATCCAAAATAGAAAACTTTACAGCTCTGAGTTGAAAACTTTAGAATTGAATATCCTTAATCCCGAGCTGTTAATTAATCTGGAGATTAATAGCATGAGGAAAACAAGCATTATTTAATCTGGAGATTAAGAAAAAGAGTGGATCAAGCATTAATCCTGATATCCACCATTCTAAAGTTCCCAGCTCTGATTTAATTTAGTATTTAACATGATTTTGTTTGTTATCAGTGTGAAGTGTGGGGACGGTGTTCAACACTTTAAAGTACTGCGGGACGCACAGGGGAAGTTTTTCCTCTGGGTTGTCAAGTTTAACAGTTTAAACGAACTCGTTGAGTACCATCATTCCGCTAGTGTTTCAAGGTATAGTAGAATTATTAGGAAAATAATTTCACCATTTTAAAGGGACTGTATTTTAGTTACAAGTGAAGATATAGTCGATTTTTCTGCTTGAAAAGTGTTCAATTCTCACTTGTCCCTTGTTTCTGAAGTTTGAAATCCGCATTTTAATCCTTAATTTAACCAAATGTGTAGACTATATTTCCATTAATTAATAAATTTTAGGGTAAAATAAGATGACTTTTAGGAAAATAAATGATTTTTATGGGAATAAATGATATTTTGATTTGTTTAAAAAGTGTCGGGGGTAGGAGAAAACTAACAAAATATTCAGATTCTCATTTTTAATTCTTTTCAGATCTCAGGACATTAAACTGAAGGAGATGGTTCCAGAAGAGTTTTTGGTTCAGGAAAAACAACTCAATCAAACTTACAATTTTAAATAATAAAACTTAAATAAACTTATAATAAAAAATTGACCTTTATTTTTTGAGGGTTTGAACGAAACTTTTTATATTTTATTTCTTGGTTTGACAGTTGTTTCATGTTACACAGGCGCTGTACGACTTCACCCCTCAGGAGCACGGGGAGTTGGAGTTCAGACGAGGTGACGTCATCACCGTGACCGACAAGTCGGACCAGCACTGGTGGACCGGCGAGCTAGGAAACCGGCGCGGACTCTTTCCAGCTACATACGTCACACCATACCATACGTCCTAAATATCATTGTACAATTGTGCGCTCAGATCAGCCATTTATGTAGAACTGTATGCGGTGTACAGTTGAACTTGTGAGGCCATATATGTATTACAGTACACTTCTGTTGTACATATTACCCGTACAAAATACACATGAATACGGACTAATCGCCTGTAAACTTACTGAAATTACATTCCACGTTCGTGTAGTGTAAACTGTACAGTGTACAGTATAGCGATAGTTAGTGTTAGTGTATGCTGTACAGCATTAGTATTTGCTAGGGTAGTTTGGTACTGTACAGCACATTAGTATTGTAAGGAGTTTTTTTTTACTATTCTTAATACTGAACAGGTGCATGGTATACGCAAAACATTTGTATGGTTTTCGTTGTCATAGAACAGCATAAATTAGATTAAATATTCAACTTACTCGTAACTGTACAGTACATTTACAATAATATATGGCATACACTAGTTGCATGTACGATCTGTTGCGTTGTTGAACATTTTCTGGGTTTTTTAAAACCTCGAAATCTTTTTGTTTTATTTTTTACTGAGTGTAATAACGACTATTTTATGTTCTTTTCCTAGGCACAGTGTATCTGGGCAGTACTTAAATATACAGTTTAGTACTCGCGCACTGTACACCAAACGGTACTGTACAATGTAAATGTACAGTACCCACAATTATCCCAGCTAATATCTTCTATTGTTGATGTAAAGATTGTACAATCTTGCAGCAGATTCGTTATTAAAAATTTATTTTCATCGGATGTCAACGTATATTTTATTGGCCTTTCATTAAAGAATGCCATCATCGATTCACTAAAGTATCTAAAATGTGCATTTGAGAAATTGAGAAAATCTCTATCTTGATTGATCAAGTATCACGAATTTTTAGTTAGAAAAAAAGAAAGGTTGTTTTTTAGGTTATTGTTGTGAATCATAGATGGCACTCTTCAAATGATACGCGTCATAGATGACGGGATCAGTCCCTTAATGGTTGATTTACGTAAATATGGGCAGCATTTGAAGGGGTCTAATTATCGTTTACATAATTAATTAATTAAAACATTAATTACTTTTTATAATTATTCGGGAATGCTCATAATTTGCATTTTTACGTAGAAAATGTGCGTTCATAAATGTTAAATGTTCTTATTATTGTGTAGAGTATATCATATATCCAGTGCTTTTTATTATGTATAAGCATCTTGATGAAAATCATAAGTTTTTTGCTCTAAAATGAATTTTTTTCTTTTACCATGGGTTACTTTGCAGAAACATAGAAATAACACAATAGAACGAATATATGATTGAGAAATGCGTGTTTCTCTTTCACAATTAAAAGAAAGCTTTGTTGTTTTTTGTTTTTATTTAATTTTAACTAATTTCAATTGTTTATTTATCCTTAAACCCCAACCTATCATTCACAATGCAAAGAATACCGAGCTACGGAAAAATTCGAAATTATTTTTTGCTTTTTGTTGGAAAAGTTTTTGTTACGTTCCTTACTATACTTTGTATGGTACACTATAAAGTGATACTGTACAATTCATTCAATTTTTACAATTTGTAATGAAAAATTCTACTTATTGCACACATACTTATATGTACATGCCGTACACGTTTCTTTTCTTCTTGTACATACACACACCCTGTGTTATTAAGGAAAATACACGAAGTGAAATAGTTTGCAGATTATTGCTATACTCATTCATATCTCTGTAAGCCTCATGTACTCAATATATATATAATGTACATACTGTACATAATGTTTAATTTTTTCCGGATAAGGTCTTCCAGAAAATTGTGAAGTCCTGTTACTCCCGTATTTTACTAATTATATTTATATAAATTCGCCTCTTTCTGCTATTTTTACAGTTCAATTGTATTTTTATATAGTAATTTAGTCTCCCACCTTCGAGCCCCAGCTTTTATTACAAATTTATGAATTTGAAATATAGATTTAAATTGTTACAAATCAAAATGAATTGACTAATATCTCCAGATGATAAGATGGATGGGATAGGGTCTAGGTTTGATATACTCGTCACACATGTCGAGAAGTTTCACGGACTCGTCAAACTCTTCGGGCAAATAGATTTGGAAAGAGGTCAGTTGTTCAAAAAAAAAAGTTATTTATGGATAAATTTCAGAGAGGGGGGAGGGGGGGGGGGGCATAAACCTCCTATTTCACTGTTTACATTTATTTATCACGTTATTATTTTTATCACAAAAATTGGGCTTTCAAAGTTTATTTAAAAACTTTCCGGTTTATATAAAATATAAAAAGAGAGAATTATGTTTCTTGTGAAATTCTTTTTTTATAAATCTAATCTGATTTGTTTAAAAAAAAGTTACTAATATGTCTTTATTTTCCCATAAGTTTCAGGATGTATTGTAATGTTATATTAGATAGGAGGTACAATCCTTATTTTGTGTATTAAAAATCTAATTTCGAATGAGAAAGATTCTCTTTTGAGAGGTTATACCTTTTGTTGTTAAACTAAGGTTTTGTCCAAATATCTCCATGTTTAGTTGAGGTTGTGTCCAAATATCTCCCTGTTGAGTTGAGTTTAAGTCCAAATATCTCCCTGTTGAGTTGAGTTTAAGTTCAAATATCTTCATGGTTAGTTGAGTTTGTGTCCAAATATCTTCTCCCTGTTGAGTTGAGGTTGTGTATGGTTTATCCAAATATCTCCATGTTTAGTTGAGTTTAAGTCCAAATATCTTCATGTTGAGTTGAGGTTTTGTCCAAATATCTTCCTGGTTAGTTTAGGTTGTGTTCAAATATCTCTCTGTTGAGTTGAGGTTGTGTCCAAATATGTCCCTTTTCAGTTGAGGTTGTTTCCAAATATCTCCCTGTTAAGTTCAGTTTGTGTCCAAATATCTGGGCTGTTCAGTTAAGTTTTTGTTCAAATATCTCCCGGTTTGGTTGAGGTTGTTTCCAAATAAGTTTTAGGATGTATTGTAATGTTATATTAGATAGGAGGTTCAATCCTTATTTTGTGTATTAAAAATCTAATTTCGAATGAGAAAGATTCACTTTTGAGATGTTATACCCTTTGTTGTTAAACTAAGGTTTTGTCCAAATATCTCCATGTTTAGTTGAGGTTGTGTCCAAATATCTCCCTGTTGAGTTGAGGTTGTGTATGGTTTGTCCAAATATCTCCATGTTTAGTTGAGTTTAAGTCCAAATATCTGGGCTGTTCAGTTAAGTTTTTGTTCAAATATCTCCCGGTTTGGTTGAGGTTGTGTCCAAATATCTCCCTGTTCAGTTGAGGTTGTATCTAAATATCTCCCTGTAAGGTTGAGGTGGTGTGTCCAAATATCTCCCTGTTTAGTTGAGGTGGTGTGTCCAAATATATCTCCCTGTTTAGTTGAGGTTGTGTCCAAATATCTCCTTGTTTAGTTGAGGCTGTTTCTTAATATCTCCCTGTTTAGTTGAGGTTGTGTCCAAATATCTTCATGTTTTGTTGAGGCTGTTTCCAAATATCTCCTTGTTTAGTTGAGGCCGTGTCCAAATATCTGCATGGTATCCGAGATGAGCTTGAGGCTGGTCAACCTCTACCTGCCTCACAGATCCTTCCTGGTCAATCGATCATTCTCAGGTAGAATAGAACATGCTTAAATTTGGTTTTAAATTTGTGGAAGTTAAACATCTTAATTTTAGATTTTAAAACGCTGAAGTTTTCAATGATCCCAGAGGGATTTGAGTAAGTTTTCAATTATTTAAAAATATAAATTTGTTATATTTCAGATGTGACGGTCAATGGTACCGAGGGAAGGTTAATACTCTTTCTGGTATCCAGGTCTCTTGTGCTCTAGTGGATACTGGAGAAACACAGGTATATTGTACTCTAGTGGATACTGGAGAAACACAGGTATATTGTACTATAGTGGATACTGGAGGAACACAGGTATATTGTACTCTTGTGGATACTGGAGAAACACAGGTATATCGTACTCTAGTGGATACTGGAGAAACACAGGAATATTGTACTCTAGTGGATACTAGAGAAACACAGGTATCTTGTACTCTAGTAGATACTAGAGAAACACATGTATTTTGTTCTTGGAAACACAGGTATCTTGTACTCTAGTAGATACTAGAGAAACACATGTATTTTGTTCTCGGAAACACAGGTATCTTGTACTCTAGTGGATACTAGAGAAACGCATGTATTTTGTTCTCGGAAACACAGGTATCTTGTACTCTAGTGGATACTAGAGAAACGCATGTATTTTGTTCTCGGAAACACAGGTATTTTGTACTCTAGTGGATACTATAGAAACGCATGTATATTGTACTCGGAAACACAGGTATCTTGTACTCTAGTGGATACTAGAGAACCGCATGTATATTGTACTCGGAAAAACAGGTATCTTGTACTCTAGTGGATACTAGAGAAACACAGGTATATTGTTCTCGGAAAAACAGGTATTTTGTACTATAGATCTTATACTTTACCGGATACTGGAGAAACACAGGTTTACACATCACAACTTACAAAGAAACAACGTAGCGCCAAACACATCTTATATACAATTCAAAATTGTGTTTTTCGAAGGTTGGCATATTTTTGATATGTTTTTTTATTAGATATGTTCTGTATCAAGTATACGAGCAAACCTGTATCCTCAACTGCAGAATATACCTCCCCTAGCTCAGGGGTTCGTTCTAGGAGAAGTTATTCCGCCGGCAGGAGAATGGTCAAAGGTGGGTAATTGATTGTTTGAATAGTTAATTAATGATTTCATTGATTGGTTCATTGGTTGATATTAGTTTAATGATTAGTTAATTGATTAGTTAATTGATTTGTTAATTGATAATTTAATTCATAAGTTTTATTTAGTTGATTTGTTAATTGACTTAGTGGAATGATTGAACAGTTAATCAATTGATTTACCAACTTGTTGGTTGTTTGATTTATTTATATAAATAGTTGGGTTATCTGGTTGGTTTGTCTGTTGGAAGGAAGATTAACTGGTTGGTTGGTTTCTTTTTTAGTTGATAGATTTGTTGGTTGGTTTATTGATTAATGGATTGACGGATTGACGGAATCTTGATGGTTTGATGGATTTATTGCGTTTTATTGTTATGTTATTCAATCTAGAGTTTTTATTCTAACTAATATTTCAGCCCTCAATAGAGTTTGTCAGGGATGGAATCCAGAATATAGTTTGCGAGGCTGTTGTTATTCTCAGATCTCATGGATATAATTTTATCAGGTAAACAAATGGTCCCTTTTCCCTTCCCTCATCCCATTTTTCCCTTCCCTCTTCCCCTTTTCCCTTTCCTCTTCCCCTTCTCTCTTCCCCTTTTCTCTTTCCTTTTCCCCTTTTCCCTTCCCTCGTCCCCTTTTCTCTTTCCTCTTCCCCCTTTTCTTATCCCTATTCCCCCTTTTCTCTTCCCTTTCCCTTCCCTTCTCTTTTTCCTCCTCCCCTTTCCTTCCCCCTTTTATCTTTTTTCTTCATTTTTTTCCCCAAATCCAATGAAAGCTCATATTTTTGCAATCCCCCGGGAGGGGGATGGGGGGCAAGCAGAAAAATTTAAACCCCCTGTATTTTTGATCAGTGTATGGTTTCAAGGGTATCGTTGGAAATCGGGCATTGGTATCTTTGAAAGTAAGCTTACAGTCCCTTTTATAACAAGGTGCCAATAGTACCCTTGATCAAGAACGAATGAATGATGATTTGAATTAATGGTTGAATATTCCTACCAGGGTGTATAAACGAGGATCCCGTGAACCCTTGGCCCAGGATATGGTTCAGTGTGGTATGGCTGTATCCGGGTATCCAAACCTTGACACCCTTCCACCGGCAGAACACTATACTCAACCACAGGTTCAGGATTCTTTTATTTTGTTATTCTCAAGATACTGATTAACATCGTCTGAGCATGAAATATTTATAGGAATTGATTATTCGCCTCAACTCATGATGTTATCCCCATATCTGCGTAACCTGGTGGTCTAATCCTTCAATATATTTAATATTTGACTATTTGATCTTTTATCATTCATTGTTTGAAATATTAAGGTCTATGACACCAGGGTGCAAGGATATAAGGATTATTAAATGAGAGATTATGGCAAGTAATCAGATAATTTGTGCCCTTTCTCTTCTTAAAACTGTCCGCTGTAAACATACAACTTTTTCTTCAGTGGCGAAATGCATATTTTCCCCCTGAGCCCTTCAATAACATTTTTAACAAGATGTAAGCCTTAAATAACTCATTATTGTTATATAGATAGCAGTTCCTCCTATGGTCCAACAACGACAATCAGGATTTCGAGGACCCCCTTCTCCAAACTACCCTCCTCATCACTCCCCCCTCCCCCCTCATGCACACTCCCCCCTCCCACCTCAACACTCCTCCCACCTTCCTCCCCATCCTTTCCAACAACAGTACTCGGGACACCAGGTTGGTTTATTTTAAAGGGGCTTAAGTTGCAATTTCATGTGACTTCTATTGCGGTTCTTTGAGAAAGTGACAGATTTTACTGCAACAGGAGTAAAAGAAAGAAAATGTTTAGCACTTATCTAGATTAAAAGCGACGATATCTTTCTCATTTTAAATCAGATAAATGTGTTAAGGAAACCATTTTGAATCGGACATACCACCCTGTAATGGGAGGTTAGTGGAAATTATGTCTATTGTCGCTTTAGCGAATGTAGTAGTTTTAAGTGAAGATGAGTTTAATCGGTATATTATTACTGCTTTTGGATTTTTCGATAAAAAACGTCAAACTTAACACTGCAAAGCTGAAAGGCCGGGGGTTTGTGCCCTGTCGGGTTTCTTTCTTTCGTATGCACAGACAACTATGCTTATATTCAGGGTTTAGCCTGGTCGGACGGATCAAACTCCAGGTCTGCTCCTGATACCCGACTTTCTCCAGTACCACGTAGTAACGGGTGAGTTTTTTTGTCTTGGGATCCAGAAATTCTAGAATATGATTAGAAACAGTAATTAGTTAGAATGATTAACCAGTTATCCTTTATATTTGGGTAAGAGAAGTATAAAAGAACCTGACTCTTTCAATATTGACAAAAGAATCCAGTAAAATCCTATGCAAACTCTGATTAACTCCTGTTTCCTGTTTAGATATCAGAGTAGCAGCAATGCAATGCTGTTCAGACCCGTGAGCCTGGAAACAGGAACCTGGTATCCTGTTTATATATCAGCAGTGGAGGAGGGACCGTCTAGGTTTAGTATACAGTTGGAGAGTCTTACCAAGGTAGGATTCGTCCTAACCTAAATTAGTTTACGATAGGACCTGAAAAATAAGCTAAGCATTCATGGAGGCCCTTGAGAAGGTTGGATTTGTTCCAACCCTGAATAACAAGGTTGTCTCAATGTGAATATAAGTTGAAGCATATAATAAAGGATTAATAAAACAAACTATTAACTTAACAAAATTAAATCCTAACCAAAATTTCTCCCCCCATTATATCGGGAAATATCTGTTAAGGTTGAATTTCAGATTGAAAATTAAAAAATTAAAAATGATGAAAATTAAAAAATTATGCAAGATAAATAGCATTGAAAAACCAAACGAGCCACGTTTTTTTTTAGCAAGACTGGTTAAAAAAAATTACTAATCATGTTTAGAAATTGGAACATCTAATGGCGGAGATAAACAGGATACCTTTACATCCCTTGAACAATTTACAGGTAACGTTAAAGAGCTGTGTGGATTTATTCCAGTATGATGCATTTCCAGATCATGAATTTCACCGATTTTTTTTGATAAGAAATATTTTTTTCTGAAACATTCTTTAATTGCTCTAAAGAGAAAATTTATATTATTTTTGTTCTGGGCCTTTTTAACATAACTATGTATTAATTGGGCACGTGTGTTTGTATAGCCAATCTTATTTTTTATTAGTTTGAAGTTGGAACTGCCTGCTTAGCAAGATATTCTCTAGATAAAAGTATATATAGAGCTGTAATCCTGAACATATCGAATACTGCAAAGGTAGGAAATAATTTGGTAGTATACTTTGGTTGATTTGGGTTAATTTTGATTAAGTTTAAGAGACTTTGATTGATTTTAAAAGATTTTGGTTTATGTTCATTGAAATTAAGAAATTCAATTGTTTTTGGTCAATGCAAGAGTTTTGTTTGATTTTGGTTGATTTTAAGAAAATTCAATTATTGGTTTTGTTTAATAGTAAGAAACTTGTTTATTTAAAACCACTTGTGTTGATTTATACTGATCAATATTTTCAGGTACTTTACTTGGATTACGGGAATGAGGAGGAGGTTAGATATGAAGATCTTTATCAGCTTCCTGAATCCTACTCACAGATTCAGATGCTTTCCTTACCCTGCTCCCTCTACCAGTTCCCGGAGTTACAAGGTTAGTAGTTTCCTGACTCCAGATTCAGATACCCTCCTTAGTACTTACCCTGCTCCCTTCCTTAGTTCCAGGAAATACAAGGTTAGTAGTTTCTGAACTCCAGGTTCTCTCCGTACCTTGCTCCCTTTATTAGTTCCAGGAAATACGAGGAAAAGATTGCTGTAGAAGAAGTGGTATTCTGAAGTACAATAGTGGCAACTCCCCATTAATTCACATGTGTTGCAACTCTAATGGGAAACCTAAAATGCCGCAGAACTTTGAAAGATTATCAATCCAGGAGAAAAGTAGGGTTCCTTTTTGGGAGTCCCTCGATACCCTCCTTTTCTACCCACTCCAAATTTCAAACTCCTCTATTTGTCACAAACAGTATTTGGAATTGATTTCTTTGTGTCCAAATGTTGTGGGCTCCACTAACTAGATGTAACCAGGATTAGGACATGAAACTCCAAGTAAAATTGCAGAAACCTACAAACAAAAGAAGAAAAAAAAATTGAATGGGATAAATGGTAGGGAACTCTGATGATAAGCTCTACACCACCAATTTTTCCCGTTGGTGAATGGAGACATCATTTGAGATAGGGATGGGAGACGACCCCCCCCCCTCCATTTCACCTCTGTTTCACCCTAAACAGAAAATATATGAGGAATATGTGTTTGAAGCTGAATCAGCCCTGTATTAACCTTCAATCAGTTTGTCGAGTCGGGCATTCTTGGAATGGCAATAAAACTGAAAACTTCACTACAATTAAACAGAGTGTCCCAATAAATACTGGTTTCGACGAATCTTTATTTTTTTCAAAATCATCAGAATCGGGGACAGTCAACAGAAGGAGAGAAATAATGACAAGCAAGAAGAAGAATTAAATCAGAATTTTTCTGAATCAACTGTATCCAATTTATAAGATTAAAAATTCAGAAATAATAAATTTTTTAAAAAATACATCCCCTGCGTAAAACAGGAAGTCATCCAGGGTCCTCTCTTTCGATTGCTGTTCGGCAATTCCGTCCATTTCGATGATCTTCATAGATATATTTTCCATATTTCATATTGTATTTAACAATGTATGATCATCAAGATCATTGACACGATGAATAATGATAACAATGTTTAGGTTCTCTAAGAGAGATTTCGAGGAAAAGGTTTGAAACCTTTACAGACCGGCCTCTTAATTGCAGGTAAACGGTATCTTTTTTCTATCAGAGGGAAATCAAAGGGGAAAAAAAGTAATTTCAAGAGATTTTCATTAGGAAGTGCGTCTTCAACTATTCTATTTAGTCCCTTTGAAAGTTTTAACTCTGTATGTAAAAATCTTTAAAATTCGCAAAGATATGATGACGAATGTTCATTTACAGAAAAATAAAAAAAGTATAAAAATAATCACTTAAAGTAAAAGTAAAGGCCACAGTTGTGAACCGTTGAAAATACATTTTATTGACGAGGTCCAGAACTCTCGGGGGATTTTACTTATTACGTCATTTGAGATCATATTATGATTCATGTTTACAGAGCTGAGTGAAATTTCAAAGGGAGTGAATAGCTAGACAGGTAGTTGAGCTGAGAATAATTCCGTATTGTAGAGCATTTTTTTAGGATTCATTTGAGACCTATCACGGTTCAAATTTTTTCAGCAAGAGCGCAAATTCAATTTAAAATCCACTTAGATTGTCCAATTTGGGGGATGATTTTGAAAATATTTTTTTAATTAATCAATGCATTCTCAGATACTCCATTTAGTTCGTCAATAAAACCAGAATATTCTTCATGAATTGTACTGATGTGAATTTTATTAAATGATGTATTCTAATGTTATCAATGTTCATCTTTACCAGGGTGATGTCTATAGAGCAGGATGGAAGAAGAAGAGGTGGAAGGGATGGATACAAGAATATTGTCCAACTCTATGAGGATAATGTGGATATTGGTCAAGAACTCAGGTACCTTAAATACTATTCAAAGTTTGGTCAGTTAGAAATTAGAAGTTTAAAGCTCATCAGTCATCATGTATTTGAGAAAATAAAAGTTTATTAAAAAATCTTATTTCCTCTTGTCCTAGATTATGGGTTGGAAGACAACAAGGAGGGAATGGAATCTCTGAGTTAGGACCAGGACAAGGGTTGCATCCTCCAGGAGGTGGTGGCGTACCTTCTCAAGGAGGGCACTGGCAGCAGGGGAGTAGTCTACAGATTGCCAGGGGAGCATTCTCATATTCACAAGTAGAACTCGTAGGTAATTTATTTTTTAATCTTAACAATCACCCACCGTTACGTTCTCTTCTGTAGTGTAACCCATAAAACGACATTTTTACAATCTTATGTGCATTTGGTGTTGTTAAAAATCTAATGATTTCCCCAGTAGCTTGCAAAGGAATATAAGAGCACAATCTCCTTTTCATGTTCATTGGAATATTCAAAACCATATCTTTATTAAAATTGTTGTTTACTTTTTCTATCGTTTTATGGGTCCCTCTGTCGTGTTAAACTTTAGCAATATCTTCGTGTGAAAATTAATAATAAAATTACATTTCTTTATTTCCAGGAACTGTTGATGTTTTCCTAAGTTTTCACGGGAAAGGACCTTCTTTATTCTACGTCCAGAGATCTGACACAACCAAACAGATTCAGCAGATCATGGTGGAGATAGCAAACCTGATCAAGACAGGATCTATCCCTCTTTCAGATCCTCGTCCTGGCTCCGTCTGCTTGGCTCAATATACTGATGGAGTCTGGTATAGAGCCAGGATTGAATATTGTTCTCCTAACTCTCGTCAGATCAAGGTAGGAGAACAATTTGGATATATTATGAATTTGTATATATATTTTGAAATGGTGGATATTTTATGAAATGGTGGATATTTTATGAAATGGTGGATATTTTATGAAATGGTGGATCTTTTATGAAATGGTGGATATCACATTAAATGGTGGATCTTTTATGAATTGACAGATTATTTGCTGGAATTGCAGATTTTTCTTGGATTGGCGGATAACTTAATGGACTGATTCGTTTAAATCTCCAGGTTGAGTTTGTAGATTTTGGGAACAGTGATCTGGTGGACCCGGAGCAGGTGTATAGTATTCCCCCTGGACTAGTCACGTGTCTTCCAGCTCAAGCTGTACCCTGTACACTAGCAGGCAACTACGGTACACAGAGTGAGAACCTTATTCAACCCTTTCTCAGCCTGGTCAAAGATAACGTCTTCAGAATTAAGGTAAAGAAGATTTTTTTAAAGAAACTAAAATAATTGAAAAGTATAATTCTAACTGAAAGGACCCTCATTTTCCGGGATAACGGACCTCACTAGTCTCCTGGAGTTTGTACAATTCTTGTAATAATAGAGATAAATGGTGCTAACTTTGCACCTATATTCTTTTAATCCTTCAGGGGCAGAAAAAAAATTTGAAATCTTTGTACAGACTCTGTTTTTAAATCCTTATTTTATTCTTTTTATAAAAAATTCCCACTTTTCATAATAATTACTAATTATTTTCAGGTTGAGAAGGTTTTGAGTAATATTTGTGTTGTACAAGCCAGTACAACGGTTCCACCTCTACTCAATATTAACAGGAAATTTATCATTTTTATTTGTTTCAAGTCACAGAGCTCGTGTTTTTATCTGTCGGCGGTGGCGTTGAAATTCTTTAGTTGAAGGGATTGTTTACAAAAATTAATAAGGTGGTCAGGATAATAGCGTTAAAAAGCGGATTTAAAGTTGAAAATTGGTCAATTCTATTTGATGTATTAAACAGAAAAGATAAAAAAGTATTTCAATTTACCTCATTCACATTTTTAGCCCAAAATGTATAAAAGAACCAAAGATAATGTATGCCGATACAAAAATGATTGATTTTGCTAGTGAGTTGTCTAGAGTAGTCCCTAGTCTAGCTCTGACCCCCTCTATGGGAAACCTTCCAGTACAACTCCTTGTTACTCATTTCGAGTCCTCAAACTCATTCTACGGACAGATTAGCTCCAGGGGAACAGAACTAGCAATATTCCTAGCAAACGTAGCAGAATTCTGTAACAGGTTAGCTATCTTTATTCTACGNAGCAATTGTGCAATGTAAACAGGCCCATTTCAATAAGTGATTTCATATCTTATTAGTAAATCTATTTGATTTGTAACAGCATCAAATGCACTTCAGTATCGCTTTTATGTCGTCTTCCTAATCTACAGTTTTTAGTTTTCTGGTTATAACAGAACTAGCAATATTCCTTGCAAACGTAGCAGAATTCTGTAACAGGTTAGCTATCTTAATTCTACGCACAGATTAGCTCCTGGGGAACAGAACTTGCAATATTCCTTGCAAACGTAGCAGAATTCTGTAACAAGTTAGCTATCTTAACTCTACGCACAGATTAGTTCCTGGGGAACAGAACTTGCAATATTCCTTGCAAACCTAGTAGAATAATTTAACAGGTTAGCTATCTTACGTTATAAAGCTATGATGTATGTGTAACGTGTACTGCATATATGTCGCAGACTTTTACGTCCACAATATGCAATATGCATGCTCCTTAAATAGTGCGTCCTAAACGGGTGTGTTGAATGTGTGCCTTCGATGTGCCTTATCGTTTGTCCACTTGAATAAAAATTATTTAAGGTACGGTGCACGGATTTACTCCGGTCTGGAATCTCATGTCGGAGAGGTTTGCGCTACCGTGGATTCCTCTCTTGGAAACTTCAGGTAATTAAAACTTGGTAAACTAAAATTAAATATAGATCTGGATTTTAGAAAGCCTAGTGATTTTGACATTTTTAGATTTAACCTTTTTAAAATATGTACATGAATATGTATGGCCGAAATATTTCTTCAATGAGGTAGGTGTCAGGGGCGCCCAGATCCCTGGTTTAACTTAATGCACTATCAGTAGAAACAATAAAGATATACTTGCTAAAAATGTCAAGAAAGCGATCTCCCAACGAAAAACATTCCAGTAATCCAGTAATCCAGAATCCAGTAATCTAGTAATCCAGTATAAACCAGATCGTCACATTTTACATATAAGTGTGGGATAGATGTCAAGTGACCTATGGATGAAACATGAATTTGTAAATGGGGTTTTTTTGAGAGAGCGGTAATTAACTATTTTTCTAGATATTACCGGTGCAAGATAACCCGTGAGCAAAGGAACACGGTAGACGTGAAGCTGCTGGACGTGGGTGGGACGGAGAGGGTCGAGAGAATGTCTCTGATCCAGCTCCCGGAGGAGTTAAAGAACCAACCAGAGTTCGGGTTCCAGTGCAGCCTAGGGCATACAGTCTCCGTAAATGATATAAGGCTTAGGTAAAGCACACAACTGCACTCTGTCTTTATACCACAGTGTTCACTCTTCACTACACTGTGTGCATTTGATATCTCTTAATGATAAGAAAGGAATTAAGTCTTAACTCTTTGCCATAAACTGTTTTTCTAATTCCTACATCTTTGCCAACCTAATGTCTCAGTCGAAGACATTAGCTATTTCAAACAACTATGAATTCTGTTAGATTAAAAAGTCAAGTTTAGAATATAAACGGTTTACACCATCGGGTTGCAAAGATAGAGGGATAATAAGTTCCTGGCTCGATATCTTTAAATAGAAGTCAACTTCTGATAAAGATACTTTGGAACAAGTGGATTATTTCATCACTATTTTTTGCTAGGAACCTGTTTTTGGACAGCTTCGTGGAGGTTGTTCTAGTCGAAGATCTGGGAGATTTCAACGTGGTTAAGCTGACGGTCAACAACAACCCAACCTTGAGGAACAACCAGATCTTGAGGTTATTTTTGTGCCACTGAAGAAATTTCGAAATTGTTAATGAAGAAGTTCATTAAATTTGTTTTGTTTAGATTTATGAAAGATCTTTCTCCTGTTACTGCAAAACCATCGGTCGAACCCTTCAGTTACGATCAAAATGAGAAACTGAAACATCTGCTAGATCTACAGAACAAGAATGCTAGAATAGCTGGTGGACGATTTGATGGTCGGAAAGATAGACCACAGCACGAGAACGATCGGCCCCAGCTCGGTCGCGGCCGAGGGAATCGAAACAACGAACATTTTGACCAAGGACGAGATAGAAAGAAAAATCGGGACATTCGGCTCACTGAAGACGATCACAGGAGCACAAGGGACGATTATCGTCCACAGGAGGAATCGCGAATTAAAGACGATTATTTGAGAAGCGATTCGGATTATCGTAAAAACAACGGTCGTGAAAATGGATACAGAAGGAACGGAAATGTAAGGAAAGAAGACGGGTACAGAGAGGAGGGATATTCGGGAAGAGAAGATAAATATCGGGATAGAAAGGAAGAGTATCGTGGACGAGGAAGCGAGGGAAGGGAGGATGGACGGGATATGCCGCGTAGGTTTGAGCGCGGGGATTTACGAAACAGTTTGCGAGAGAGAAGAGCTGCAAGGGAATTAACCTTGGCTAAACCTACAATTTCGACTTATAAATATCCAAGGTATTTTATAAAGGGAAGAGGTGTGGATGTTATATATAGAGATAACTAGAAAACTAAAGTTATGACTTAAAAAAGTCCAATGAACATGAGGCACAGCAATTGTGCAATGTAAACAGGCCCATTTCAATAAGTGATTTCATATCTTATTAGTAAATCTATTTGATTTGTAACAGCATCAAATGCACTTCAGTATCGCTTTTATGTCGTCTTCCTAATCTACAGTTTTTAGTTTTCTGGTTATCACTGTATGGGTTTAGGAGATGACAAACCTTCTCTGAAATTCTCAAAAAAAAAAAGAATAAAATTTTGGATCGATGATAGACTTACAGAATTTTATGGAGTCTCTTGCATGTGAAAGAACATTGAATTTCAATCAATTAAAAGTTATCCTGTTAGGTTGCATCCTGGGATAAAGTTTGAGGGTAAGATAAGCTGGATGTACAATCCTGGACACTTCTACCTGCAGTTCGAGGAGAACAAGGAGTTCAACAACATTATGGAACAGATGCAGATAGAGTTCAAGTCAGGTCAATAACAAGATTTTAATGTTTTATCTTATAAATCTAGAGATATATATTTTGAAGAATTCTCCCTTACCAAGGTAAATGAAAAATTGGTCATAAATGAAACTTTTTACCCAATAAGTTCATTATGATCCCTAACAAAATACATTTATTTTCCTAGATTTAACAAAAAACTTATCATTTTTAAATATACTGGCGGGAAAAACATTTACTGATTTTTTCAATTTTCTTAATTTTTTTTATCTGTTAACTGTTTGTTTCCAATGTACGCAATTATGACTAAAACAATTAAATAGTACTTGAGTTTGGTTATATTTGAAGAAAAAAACCTTTTTAAACTTCTGATTTTTTAGGTCCTTTCGATTCTTTATCCTGGAATAAAGGAACTCCTGTTGCTGCAAAGTATCAGGTAATTGTTAAATACAGATTAAAAACAAAAAACCGAATTTTGAAAAAAAAAATAATTTAGGATAACTGCTGGTACCGGGGGAAAGTCGAGGGTCAACGAGGAAAGATGGTCGAGGTTTATTTTGTCGACTTTGGTAATACCGACAAGGTCGACGCTATCGACGTTCTAGCTCTGCCAGCCGAGTTCGGGGGCCTAGAAACACAGGTACGCTTTTATTGTTTTCATAGCCCCTCAATATTTTTATCTTATAAATTTTGGCTCTGATTCTTTTGTTTTTTAGGCTGTGAAATCAAGTTTATTCGGTTTAGAAGAAATAAACGGGAATTGGGATAAATTAGCCTCAGGTACGAATAAACCCAGACTGAAATCAATTTTTAAAGTTTAAACGAGTGCAATAAACGATTCATGACGCTACCCTTAAACACAAACTTCGCTATTTAATCCATCGATCTATAACGGTTTAATATAGATAAATATATCATCATGGTTTTCTTCAACTATTCTAAATTACACACTTGTAGGTTTTAATTTGATCAATTAAAGGGTTAAAGGTTACCGTGCAGATCATTGAAGGTGCTCTTGCATCTAGGGGTTGGCTTAAAAATACGGGAACAATCTCTTTTATTTTGAATATGTACACACAATTTTATGATTTCTAGGTTTTGCCAAGTTCTTCACCGACTCCGTATTCTCGGTGGAGGTTGTAAAGGCCGGCAGGCACTGCATAGTTAACCTCAATAACGGAGAGGTCGCAGAACGGATCCTTGAAGAGTTCCGTGATGGAGGAGGGAAGGAGGGAGGACGGAACCGAGGCGAAGAGAGGTTAAAGAAGGGGAGAAAAAAAGAAACTTCGTTAGAAAGTGAAAGCGTTGAGAAAGCTGTTCTGACTGGGAGCAAAGATCGGATTAAATCCGGGAAAATATTCACCGTTGGCGGATATCCTGGAGTTGAGGTTAAAGAGTTCTCGTCAACCTCGAGAACAGTTCTAGTTTCACATTTTAACAGCTGGAAGGAGATGTGGGTTCAGGTGGATCCTGATCAAACTATTAAGTTTACCGAGGAATTAAACAAAAATGAAAATCTTCATGGAACAGCCGTTTCTTCAGTAAAGGTAAAAATTCGTTTTAAAAATCTTCTTGAAAATATATTATGAGGTTATGTTAAAAAGTGTTCTGTTAGGTTGGAGATATCTGTTTGGCTGAGTGGGACGGATTATGGTATCGTGCTCTGGTCCAAGATATAAAGGATGAAGCTATAAAGGTATTAAAATGTGGTTCAGTTTTCTTATTTTTGGGCTCAACCCATCTTTTTTTCTCGACAGTTCTACGTCTTCAGAGCAGTGGCAAATGGTTTAAATAAGGATTTGGTTCTGGGTTAATGGATGAAATTTTAAATTATCAAAGAAAAAATGGTAAACAATTTCCTTATGATCCATCCTGAAGTATCATACTTTTTGCGGGTATTTATATCAATCGGAACAAATTGTATGAGTATGAAAAGTTTACTTAATTTTAATAAATTTTGTTTAAAAGGAAGTTTCAGAAAAATGGAATAATTTAATTATTATCAAATTGCACTTTTTTTGTTCCCATCCTGTGTTTATTAGAAAATATAATGCCTCTTTCTTTCTTTAATCCATGTGAAATTTTTTTCTTAAGATTTCTGCTCTACTAAAATATTTTAGGTTCACTTTGTGGATTACGGGAATACGGAAACTGTCTCTGTATCTGAAATTAGAACCGGAGACTCATCTCAGTTCAAGAATCCACCGTTTGCTCTTAGATGCAAACTCGATGTAAAAATAGGAAATTTTGACAAAATTATGGAGAAGTCCGAGTACACGCTGAAGGTCAAGTTCAAGAGTTTCTTCAAAAATCAGTTTGTGATTAAGTTGGACAAGGAGAAGACGGAGAAGAAGGAGAACCTGAAGAAGAAAGGAGACAAGATCGTCACCCTTACACACGTTGAAACTGGATCCAGGATCTGGTTTGTCCCGGAGCAAAGTATGGAGGAATTAACCCGTCTAATGGAGGAGCTCTCCAAGCTCAAGGATTCCCTAGGTCCAGCCTCCGAGATCAAGGACGGAGGAGTTTACGCGGTCAGGTACAGTGAGGACGGAGAACTGTACAGGGCTCGGGTGTTAAATATCTCCGAGGACGGAGTAGAAATAGTTTATATTGATTACGGAAACCAGGATCAGGTTGAGAACGAAGATATCCTTGATATCCCGGAAAATTTAACAACAGCTCCCGGTTATGCGCGTTTGGTTCAGATAAAAGGTGCGGATTACGCGCTTGACTGCGATGAACTGAAGGAGAAACTGAAAGAGTTCTTAATGGACTCCAATGTGAGCGTGAACATGACCGGTAAAATCTACGGAACCTTATCTGTCGACGGTAAACCTCTAAACCTGAACTCCTGGCTCAGGTTTAAGAAAACTCTAAACCTATTCCAGCATCTGGGTAGTGTAAGAGTAGATTGCTATGTGAGTAACACGGAGCGCTCATCCCAAATCTGGATTATAGAGAAGGGAATGCTGGAGGGATTGGAGAGGATGATGAGAGATCTACAACGTAAAGCTCCTGGATTTCATAAGTTGAAGAAAGCTGAGAAAGGTCGGATGGTTTGTGCCAAATTTACAGAAGACGGAGAGTATTACAGGTAGGAGTCTGCTTTGATTTGATTTGTTTTGGTTTGGTCACGTTTCAACCTTGATTCAGTATTAGTCATCTCAAATTTTCCTTGTGGGGATAGTCTGATTTGATGTGATGTGGATTTGGATTTGGATTTGGATTTGGATTTGGATTTGGATTTGGATTTGGATTTGGATTTGGATTTGGATTTGGATTTGGATTTGGATTTGGATTTGGCTTTGGCTTTGGCTTTGGCTTTGGCTTTGGCTTTGGCTTTGGCTTTGGCTTTGGCTTTGGCTTTGGCTTTGGCTTTGGCTTTGGCTTTGGCTTTGGCTTTGGCTTTGGCTTTGGCTTTGGCTTTGGCTTTGGCTTTGGCTTTTGATTTGATTTGATTTGATTTGGTTTGATGTCATCATTATTTAGAATTGGTGCCTTTCAAGTTTTCCTTGCTGAAAGAAATTTAAATGTTGTCAGAAACTCAATTTTTTTTATCCCTATTAAAACCTGATGGCGAAAACCTTAAACTTAAAATATTTGATCTGAGAGTATTCATAGTTTGAAGGTCTGCGACAAAGGGTTACAGAGATATTGATATATATTGTGGGTGTTGTAAAAACTATTGTGGTGATGTTTCTGTTATATTCTGTTGAGTAATGCTGCTGAAAGTCTACAATACCACACTTGACAAAGTTGGCCTATATTTTTAAACTTCTATTATTTTGCTTGATAATTCAAAAAAGAAAATGTTATATTTTAGAGTCCGGATACTTGAACTACGGGAGGAGACCGCTGAGATACTATACCTGGATTTTGGAAACAGAGAAACCGTCCCTACGGAGTCTCTTTTAGAACTTACTCCAGAGTTTACTCTTTCTCCAGGATTAGCCATGAAGGTGACTTAATTCTTCTTACTTACATGATATGAAATCAACCAATGAATGGTTCTATAATCTATATAGTCTATCCCACTGCCAAATTCTCTACTGCATTTTCTTACTAATAGATCCATTATTCCATCTCATTCCTGTTCAAAAATTATTTTATATAATTTTCTTTACTTTAAATTTCATTGTAATACTCATCATATCTCACGTTTCTTATTCGATGATTAAATTACAGGTTGAGATAGATTCTAAGGGTGAGTGTAGGATGTTAGCTCCTGGAGAAATGGAATCTATTATCAGCGAGGGAAAGGAGATGACGGTGGAGCTGGTTCAACCTAGATTAAACATTGTCCGAATGTACCTTGGAGGAAGACGGGTTGGATACCAGCATCCTGACGAGGTCGGAGTAACCTCGTTGGTTAGTTTACCCCCAGGGAGGCTTAGGCTAGGACCTCCAAGGCTCGGAGTGCTCTCGATGGTTTCAACAAGCTCCTTCGCAGTTCAGGTTATTTTACATCTTTCAAACACCAAATTCCTTATAACTGTCCCTTATTAGTTGTGCCTTCTCCACAAATCATCAATTTATCAATTGAAGGGAACCAAGAAAATAATAAAAAATGCCGCACAGTTGTGACTGAAGTTTAATTCTTTTTGTGTAACTTGATTAGCTTGTACAATGTATTACATCCATACATTTTGATTTTATTATGATTTATTATTTATTTAGGATATACAGTATGCTGGAGTAGTGGAGCACAGGATAAGAAGGGAAGAACCTGAACCCGTCTCAGGGAGTGATATTGAACCTGGGAGAATATACTTACAACAGGTTGGGTCGGAATATCGGAGATTAGCTGTTCTAAATCTAAACTCAACATCGGCAAATATTAAATATTTGGATACACAGCTGACAGCTAAAATTAGCTTGGACAACATCTTCAGCTGTCCTTTAAATCTACTGCAAATGCCACCAGCTGCGCTTACAGCAGCTTCTCTTACTGTTAGGACGAAGGATAGGTATAAGCTTCTCAACACGCTACTTCTCATCTCGGTATCGGAGAAGAGCTTAAACCTTGAAGAGGTTCAGCTCAGGGTGCGGCTGCAGTTGGAGAGCAAGAACGAGTTTGAAACAAGATTTGAGTTTCCTGAACTTCTTCTCAATCTTCCAAATAAATCCTGCATCAGAAATCTTAATTCAGAACAGCTCTGCACAATCAGAAATAGTTTAGTAGAGAGTTATATTTGTAAAACAGGAAACCTGCAACTAGAGATGTTAAAAGAAACCAAGGACGATGTTGTTGATGAACTAATTGACGAAGAAAATGAAATTCATCCAAATCAATTATTTTCAAATCCTCAAAGCATTGACGCTGAAAAGAAATCTGTGAAAATGAACGATAATCTTCCAGAAATATTACTAGAAGATGAAGAAATTGTACAAATTATTTCCGTGTCTCATGATCATTGTATCCTTACACTAGGAAGGTTCGAACAATTTGGAACAGATCTAAGACGAGACCTGGAGAAATCTGAAAGATTAGAACTGATCAGTCCCGAACCAAACTCTCTAGCTCTCTACTGCGGGGGTCCGACTCCGGTTAGATGTATAGTTCAAGAGCCTGGAGATACAGTTGAGATATATCTGGTGGATTCTGGTCAAACCATGCTCTGTCATTCAAGTGAACTTAGTTCCCTTCCTGCTCCTCTCTCTTCTATTCCTCCTCTGGCCATCCAGGCTCAATCTTCACGGAGTGTCAAGTCAGGGGAGAGCTTCATTGCTAAATTTATTTTTGGAGATTTTCTTGAAATTTTGCGAACTAGCTAATTATTTGTGATAGAAACATCTTATTTTATACGCCTAGTCCATGTGATACATTCTGCTAAATAAATAGCCGCTAGGAATTATACAATCATAATCCATCCCTTATTTTCTTCAGATAAAATGTTAGGAATATTTCGTTGCACAAGTAAACAGCTCATTTTAAATACTTCAATATATTCACAGGTAAACTTTGAAAGCCAGGTTAAATTTAAGTTATAATAAATAGATTAGAAATGTATGATTTTTGGTTCCCCTTTTTTTAATAATTTCAACTTTTAACTGTTACTTTTTAGTTCGCCATTTTTTATCGTACTTCAGTAAAAAACTCGTGCTTTTTTCTACATAAGGAATTTTAATAAATCGCTATGTCGACACTTCTTAAGTCAATTTTGACCGTCCTTAACCCACTTGGGGTCATGCGAGACTGTAAGTTACCACAAAAAGTTTGTCCGTTAGGTCGTTTTATTCTATACAAGGTACAAAAATACATGTGTTATCTGTCCTTTTATAAAAGCATTTAATTTTTTAACTTTTACCTATAAGGAAATTATATTGATGGGTTACATATCTACTTGCGTATGAAAATAAAATTTAGGTACAATAGGATGATTTGATTTAATTAAAATTCATTTGATTTAGCATGTCTGATTTTTCAAAATCTCTATTTTGGCACAGCGGTTTGGAAGTTGCGCTTGAAAAGATATCCTAACTGATCAAGTGGGTCCAGTGCGTCAACGAAACCAGTTAGCGTGATCCATATACAGGGAGCCAGTGCTTACTGTTTACAAAAGAAAATATTTTTAAATCGTATTACTAAGGTGGAATGTTGGATGTGCATTATGGTGACCCATTTTTTAGGAAAATATAGAAATATTGCACCACAAATACCTAACAGTTTAATATTGTTTTTTATGATGTCAGTTATCATAGGAATTTTTTTATCTAGGTCAATGACTAGTGATCGTACAAGTCCCGTGCAGATCGCTAAAAACCTCCAAATCGTTTTTTTGGTCTAAATCTATCAATTTTTGTAATTTTTAAAGATTTCAGTGGATTTAATCTTTTTATACAATTACGAAGAAAATGATATATGACCTGAGAAATTCAAGAAATATTTTTGTTGAGCTATGTAGATTTTTTTGCGATCTGCACGGGCCTTGCACGACCACTTCCCATTGACCGAGAGAAAAATCCTGTGAAAACTGACATCATACAGAACAGTATTAGACTGTTAGGTTTCTTTGGGAAATCAGACTGCAAAATGGGTCACCCTAATGTGCATCAGACTTGGGTTGCTATACAGTATACATAAATTTTTTATATATTTTTTTAAATTAACAAAAAAAAATTTCCAAAGCTGAATATGTTAATGTAAATTAACACGTTTCACTTTTTATCCTTTCCTATTATAACGCTTGGTAACTAACCACTACTATCCTAGGATGACATTTTAGATATTTTCTTGCCTGGTTCATTGGATCCATAATTTACCAGATTCTTAATTCAAAATAGAACTGGGATTTATATGTATAGCAGTAACCCATCCACAGGCTGAGGATGAAGAAATCTTCTATGGCCAACAACGAAAGTAGAACATATTTATCTAAAATAAAAATAATGTACTAACAGGAATTGGGGATTGTCATCAATCATAAGCCAATGTTATTGAAAATATTGATCAAGGCAGTCTTGTCCTTAATTTTAGTCCAGTATTTGAAGACTGTGTGATCTGCTGTAGGATAATTTTATTCAAACCCAGGTGCCTGTTAGAGGAGCTAAAGCTAAAGCAGCGAAGGGAAAAGGAGGAAAATCCGCTAAACCGGTTCTAGAAGTAGAAACTGATGCTAAAAAGGTAAACATCTCAATCAGCAAATCAAGAATATTACCCACGTACATTTATTTTGAAACACTTGTTGGTCATAGAGTGACTGTTTGAAAAATTAAAGTGACCCTCCATTAGAGATAGAAAAGGGATATTCCCGATTCACAACGTTACCCTTTAAACCATCGTTTGTGCAAAAACGAGAAGGTTATTTCGTTTTTCTGTTTAAAAATTGATAATTTGTAATTGTGGTTTCTCTACAAAAGTAACTGTCAGTTTAATGCGGTAGAGAGAATTGTTGAAATATGCAGGATACCTTTTTTGTTGTTGCCTAGTTAACGGTATAAAGGGTTCTGTTAATGATTCCTGCATGCTGTAAATAGGGCATTGTCATCTTTGCAAGGAGGGTTCACTTGAAATTACACTTACAGTCCCTTTCAGATAAAGAAAGAATTTGCATTATCTTATTTATGTGAACAAATAGAACATAATTGTTTAACTATTAGAATATATTTATTTGGATTCTATAAATTTTGTAAGAATGTATTTCTGAAAACTTATTTTGTTTAGTTAGTAAGTCAAGTTTGTGGATTAAACTACGCCCTTGAGGGTCCTTTATCTGAACCTGTGTTGATTAAACCAGATTCAGAATACCCAGATTGGCTTTTCAAACTGGATATTAAGAGACCTAAACCTACACTAGACGAGTTGGTGAGAAACTTTCCCTTTCTAATATTTTACAGTTCAGAGCCTTCAGTTAGAATTTTGTTAATTGAACTACTGTACAGTGTACACTTTATCGTTCAAGCACGGTTCATGCTCACTTTAATTATAGCAGGGTTCCCTAGCTAGTATTTTATTAAGTACCTGTAATGCTAGGAAAATTGTTAAGTTTTGGATTTTATTTGTAACTCTAGAGTTCTCGTAAAATTTGTATTATATTTTGAAAATTGGCCTATATAAGATTATAAAGCAATGCGAACCAAAATTTTGTTATTAATATATTAAAATATTCAAAGAAAACACTCGGGAAAATCATAAAAATTAAATATAATTAGAACAAATCTATTGAAAATTCTGTTGTTTTTTCCCCGTCAAAATTGTTCAAATATTTTTGTTTTTAGGATCCTAATACACGGGAATACTGGGAAGAAGTTCAGAAGTTGATGGATTATAAAAGAATCCGATTATTGAAACTCAAACTTAAATAAATATTAGAACTAGTCTTAAACAATATTTCAGAAACAATGGCGGAAAATGGCGGAAAAGAAGTGAAGGAAGGAAAGGAGGGAAAAGATAAATCTAAGAAAGCTCTAGATTTAGATTTGACCAACTCTACCCGGGATGTTTGGCTGGTCAAGGTTCCCAAGTATATTAGTGACAGGTTAAAAACTTAATTTAGGCGATGCAGTTTCTCAAAAAATCTACTTTTTCTTCTCTTGAAATATACATTTTTTTGATATGAAAGAAATTTTTGATCTTTTTTGAAGGTGCAATTAAACAGTTTTGGTAAGAAAGTCAATATTTTAAATTTTCCTCCAATCTTCGAAAATTTCTCTTCCGGGGCCGAGATACAACCATAGATATTTTATAAAAAAAAATTTAACCCGGACATGAATAGTTATGTTTTATTTTCAAGCACTATCAAAATATATAGTATTATTCAAAAGGATTGTGATGAAAAGACATTTTTTGACTTGTATTATGTATATTTGCAAAAAAAAAACTTTAATATTTGTTACGCTTAATTTTTTTTTCGTCTAAATACATTTTGTACAAGATAACCAGAAAACATAGGAATGGAATAGGAAGACGACATTAGAGAAAGTGCAATATATGTTGTTACAAAGCAGATAACTTTACTAGTAACTTTTTAGATAAATTTTCATGTGAAATGGGTCTGTTTACACTACACAATTGCTGTGTATCATGTTCATTGGACTATTTAAGTGTCTTAAAGTCAACTTCCTATTCCAGAGTTATTTGGTTATCACTGTAACATCTTGATGAATTCTAGATTTTCCAAAGCTGGTCCTAATGCCGATGTTGGAAAACTGCGCATCCGACGTGTACCGGGCATGCGGGCAGACGTTACATTTACGCTCTCAGACGCTATCTGCGCACCTATAGTAGGAATCTCAGAGGAGGTGAACATTTATTCCATGTATCTATATATGTATAGTGTATACTTTCTCTTATTCTTATACACTGATTCAGCACTTTTTGATGTTATAAGATGCGACAATTTAAACTCAAATTGATTCTTTAACTTTAGACATTTTAGAATCAATTTGGATGAACTGTACCTTGTTGAATTTGGTTTAATTTTTAAATATATTATACTTATTAAAAATGATAAATTATGAATTTAGGAATCCCTGGATTTAGTTCGAAACTCGTGTACAAGTCAAGCTGTACCAAAAGAACATAAGTTTAAGGTGATAACTTTTGATTTAATTTGAATTGCGAAGATGTATATGATACAAAAGTATGGTTTGTTTTTTCCTAATATCATCTCCGAGAATACAAAATGAATGAAATGATTTTTTTCGGATCCATTTAAAACTGTAAATTATTTTATGAATATTATGTCCTATCTCCTAGTTACTCATGAATATTTATTCAGATCTCCAGTATAGCAAACCAGACCATGGGGGTCTTCAGTCATATTCCAGGAGATAAAGATGCCGTTCCTCCGGTAGCAGATAAGTAAGTATTCCTACAATAGCAGATAAGTAAGTATTCCTTCAGTTGCAGATAAGTAAGTATCCCTACATTAGCAGATAAATAAGCATTCACTTTAGCAGATAAGTAAATATTCATCCTATAGCATACAATTAAGTATTCCTATAGTAGCAGATAAGTAAGTATTCCTCCAGTGGCAGATATGCACTCCTCCCTTTAGCCTACTTCAGTGGCAGATAATTAAGTATTCCTCCTGTAGCATGCAATTAAGTATTCCTCTGGCAGCAGATAAGTAAGTATTCCTCCAATGGCAGATAAGTAAGTATTCCTCCAGTTGCAGATAAGTAAGTATTCCTCCAATGGCAGATAAGTAAATATTCCACCAGTAGCAGATAAGCAAGTATTCCTCCATAGTGGCAGAAAAGTAAATATTCCTCCGCAAAATCCTTTTGTGATCCTTTTGTAGCAGATAAGAAAAAAATATATACAATTATTTATAAATAAGTATTCCTTCTTTATCAGCTAAGTAAGAACTCTTTCTTTATAAGAGTTTTAACACAGTATAATGGTTGATTCCTTATCTAGGATACAGATTGAGGGTAAGGTTGTACAGAGAGCAGAGTGTGGTCCAATTCAAAATAAATCCTACATGAACATCAAGAGAGAAGCAATCATTAAAGCTGGAGAACCGGTAATCTTTTCTTTCTTAATTAATTTAGTTAATGAATGATAGGTTGTAAATAAATCTTACTTACACGTAAATGCTTTATTGATTGAGTATTTAGTAAATGTTTATTGATTGAGTAAATGATTGAGGAAAAGATTTAATGATTGAGTAAATGATTTATTGATTGAGTAAATGATTTGTTGATAAAGTAAATGGTTTATTGATTGAGTAAATGATATTTAGTAAATGCTTTATTGATTGAGTGAAAGATTTATTGATTGAGGAAATGATTTATTGATTGAGTAAATGATTTATTGATTTAGTAAATGCTTTATTGATTGAGTAAATTATTTATTGAATTAGTAAATGCTTTATTGATTGAGTAAATGATTTATTGATTGAGTAAATGATTTATTGATTTAGTAAATGATTTATTGACTGAGTAAATGATTTATTGATTGAGTAAATGATGTATTGATTGTGTAAATGATTTACTGGTTTAGTAAATGGTTTATTAATTTATTTAATAAACTTACAAGTAAATGCTTTATTGATTGAGTATTTAGTAAATGTTTATTGATTGAGTAAATGATTGAGGAAAAGATTTATTGATTTAGTAAATGATTTATTGATTTAGTAAATGACTTATTGATTGAGTAAATGTTTTATTGATTCAGTAAATAGTTAATTTATTGAGTAAATCCTTAATTGATTGAGTAAATGATTTATTGATTGCGTAAATGGTTTATTCATCTATTTAATGATTTATTGATTAAACGGTTAAGTGATTGATTTATTCATTGGTTGATTGATAAATTGATTGATTGAATGATTGATTGATTGATTGATTGATTGATTGATTGATTGATTGATTGAATGATTGATTGATTGATTGATTGATTGATTGATTGATTGATTGATTGATACCTTTGTTTAGAGAAGGAAAGTGATGAAACTAGAGAAACATGTACAGAACTTCCGTCCAGTAGCAAACCATATCGCAAACATACAGTACGACAAACAGAAGAAGGTCACTCTCGTTTTTTAGCAAACTATACAGTAAGATCCATACAACTGTGGAATAGGAAGACGACTCAAGATATGCTTTTAGATAGTAAGAACAAGGAAGCGTAAAAAAGAGACATAAACCATTTGCCTGACAACTTTAATGTCGTCTTTCAATTCCAAGTTTATGGTTCTCACTGTATCATAATCAAAACAAATATTTTAAAATTTGACGTCAATGTTTTCCATCTTTCTTTTTTCTTTCTTATATTTTATCATAATTTATTATTTTTATTATTTTCTGTTGTCTAGTTGGAGGGTAAGAAGATGAGAGATGACAAGGAGAAGGTGATGGAGATCCTCTTCGCTCTGTTTGAGAAGCATCAGTATTATAATATAAAGGTAGTTTGATTAATATACTATGTCACTGANCCCCCCCATGAAATGTCATATACATCAATTTCTGTATTTAGGATTTGGTTGGAGAGACAAGGCAGCCTGTTGCCTATCTAAAACAGATCCTAAACGAAGTGTGTAACTACAACGTGAAACAACCAAACAAGTGAGAAGATCTTCAGAGTTATTTGAAACTAAGAAATAATTTTTAATGCTTGACAAGTTCATAATTTTAAATTTTTTGTATTTTTTCAAAAATTTATATTTTATGGGCTGGAACCAGCTGAACTAAGATGAACGAATTACTGAACAAATTAACGATTTAATGAAGAAATGAAGTAACAAATTTAAAAAATGAATAAGTTAACGGAACTGATGAACAAATGAAGAAACTAATGAACAAATGAACAGACTAATAAACAAATAAATGAATTAATGAACAAATTAATTAACAAATTACCAAACGAATAAACAAACTAATGAAAAAATGAACAAACTAATGAATAAACTAATTAACAAATGAACGAAATTATGAACAAATAAACAAAACTGACGAACAATGAACGAACTAATAAACAAATGTTTGAAAAAACCAATTAGAAAACCACCGAACAGAAGTCCGTAGGAATATGTTTTTTTTAGAAACATGTGGGAGCTGAAGCCTGAGTTCCGTCACTACAAGGAGGAGAAGGAGGTGAAGAAGAAAGATGAGTTGGATGATAGCGACAGTGATTAAATACAGGACCATGCTCGATCCCTACTTACAGATGTTTTAAAGTTAGATCTGTTGGAATTTGTTCATTTTGTTACATTTTAGTAATCACAGCTTTAATCATAATTAAGATAATTTTTTTAATGATGTTTTTTTCTGCAGGATCTCATATTTGGTAAAAAATGAGGGATTAACATTTTTTGTCTTCAGGAAGAGTTAACTGTATCTTTGAATTCCAGCCTGTACATTGTACACTTGTACACTGTACGTACAGTGTACACAATATCTGCATCGCAAATGTACAATGTTGCAGAATTCCGCCACAAGTTCTCAATACATCAGGATCCATTCAGAATAATTGTGATAAACTTCGTTATTTTCAGATAAAATGGCGGCCCACGAGCAGCCGATTAATATATTCAAATCTGCCTTAGGAATTTAATTAAAGCCAGGATTGAGACTACATTGAGACAAAATGTGGACATGTTTTATTCCAACTAAATTTTTCTTCATTTTGCGTTGAAAATTTTAATTCAGTTGTTCCTAAACAGGCTTAGAATTTAAATTTGAACAGAACGTGATGTTTCTACTGGTATTGCTGCAATTCAAGGCCTTATGCAGGTGCTTAGGCAGTCAGGAGCTAAAACTTTGCAGGTAATATGCTTTAATCAAATAGTTTTCTTTCAAGCATAACAGAAACTTTTCGTCGATTTTTTTAATATTATAAATGTCGCGTATTTTTTTCGGAAATTGGCGGGCTATTTAAATATATGTCATCAATTTTTATCGTTAACTTCTAATGATTTAATGATTGAGTAAATGATTTATTGATTGAGTAAATGATTTATTGATTGAGTAAATGATTTATTGATTGCGTAAATGGTTTATTCATCTATTTAATGATTTATTGATTAAACGGTTAAGTGATTGATTTATTCATTTCCCTATTTTAATAATTAGATAGCAATGGTTGAAGCAAAATAACTATTTTTTTTAATTCATTTTTTTCAGGAATTGATTGAGCTATTGAAATCTGAAGCTGTTAAATTTAAAGAAGTTGATTGTTCTGTGATTGCTGTTACCTCCGCTTGTGAGCTTTTTCTCAGGTTTTGAATTATTAATTAATTATTTTTTCAAAATTGTTCAAAAATGGCAGTCTTTAAAAACCTAGTCTACATATTAAACTGAAAAAGAATAATTTAACAGAGAACTCTCTCAAAAGAAATAATGATGCAGACCTAACTTGAATTTAGTGTATTGTCCCTTTAAACACTTGTTTTTTAGGTTCATAACCTTAGCGCACACCCAGTTAGAGAGCCAGGATTTTGCCACCTGTCTCACCCTAATGCTGGATAGGGGAACACATTTCCTTGCTAAACTAGGTACTACAACCAACAACCATACTGAGGACAAAACTTTTGAATCCCCGACTAGGTCTAAAGATTCCTTTGGATCACTATTTCTTTCTGGAACTTGGATTACTGTCTTTTTAAAATCCGTAATGTAAGCCTAACTGTCTAACCTGTATAGTGTAAGCTCCCCGGCCCCGCCCCTTCGCAGTATTTTAAGACTTTTTAAGGGCACATAGTCGTTATGGTAAACTTTTGTGTGATGTGGACTTGTTTGTTTCTTACTTAGAATGTCCGGCCCCTTACCCCAAAGCTTTAAGTTGCCTTCGCACTTCTAAAGATGACAATATGGCATATTTTTAGACGTTTCGGGGGAGAAAATATCTCAGGGTTTTCAGCCTTTCCTGCAGGACGGAGACAAGGTTCTTGTTCATGGTAGATCTAGGATAGTTCTCTCAGCTCTAGTTAGAGCAGCTAGGTAAAGATCTAGGATAGTACTCTAAACTCTAGTTAGAGCCGCTAGGTATATATCTAGGATCTAGGATAGTGCTCTCAGCTCTAGTTAGAGCAGCTAGGTAAATATCTAGGATCTAGGATAGTACTCTCAACTCTAGTTGGAGCAACTAGGTATTTTTTAACATTTATTTTTGAAAATTGATTTTAAGAAATTTTATTACAAAATCGTATAAATGATAAATAATAAATAGCAGCTTCTGGTTTTTTGATATCTCTATTTTTCTTAAAGTCTCCAATTTTAATGTTCTTGTTTTGCATCATTGACCAAATAATGGCTGATTTTGAAAAAAAAAGAACATTTTTATTGTTTTGACATCCCTGCAAAGCCAACATGTTACAGGTTTCATCGCTACTCCTTGATGACCTTGCTTTCTCATCTTCTCTGATTCAGCAACTAAATTCAAACACACTCCTGGTATTCTCTATTTTGGGTAAAGTCAAGGGGGGGACTTCTCCCAACTCCAAATCTTTTTATATCTAAAAAGGGGCTCTTTAATGGTGTCTTCTTTCGCTAACGAGGTAAAGGTTGATAGTGTAAAGCTTATCAGAGTTCCCTTCCATTCTTGTGTTCAATATTCTTCTTCTTCTCGTTTCTTGTAATTTTTCGCTGTTGGGTGGTATCTCAGTTAGCTCTTAGTGACGTCGAGTTCTGGAAGTTTGGGTTATAGGACTTGAGGATAGGTGAGGAGTGGGGTATCAAGAGTGCTTGTGGAGCATCTAGGTATATATCTAGGATATGGAACAGTTCTCTCAACTCTAGTTAGAGCAGCTAGGTAATAGGTACATATCTAGGATCTACCAGCTAGATATATATCTAGGATTTAGGCTCTAGTTAAAGCAGCTAGGTATGTATATATATTCAGGATCTAGTAACGAAATTCACCTTGAAGTAAGAAGAAAGAACACAATAGTTATAAAGAGTTTGACTGGAAATAATATTTACCCATTACATGATTATTGATAACTACTTGTTCAGGTCAGGTGTTGAGTTCCAGGTTTATCTGACTAGGAGTTCTGGAGAGAAGTTAAAGAAGAGAATGGATGCTGAGAATATATCCTGTATCTTGGTGGAGGATATGGGGATAGGATATATTATTAACCAGGGACCGGATTTAATGAATTGCAAGAAGTCATTGAACTACATAGAGACGGTTCAACCACATAATTTTAATGCTGGTTCAACTTGAAAATCAGAGCCAAGTTTTGATTCAGCTAAAAGCTTGCTGATTTGATTTGAACTGTTGGTGAATTTGTCTACATTAAGTTTTTAACTGACTTCATATAAGATTGTTTAAAATCTTAAACTTTGATTTGACAGGATTTGAGCTAGTTAGAACCTCTCTCTTATTCATTAAATTCGGTTCCAGATCGACTGTGTACTGCTGGGAGCTGAAGGAGTATGTGAGAGCGGTGGTATTGTAAACCAGCTTGGTTCTCTTCCTGTAGCTATAGTAGCTAACAAGGTTGGTGTAATGAGTTTATTATTGTTTTAACACAAGTTGTAGAAACTAGTTTAATAGTTCATAGCTAGATTCTCTTCCTGTAGTAATTGTTGCTAACAAGGTTGTATTAATGAGTAAATAGAGTTTATTACTGTTGGAATAGAATTTATAGTAGCTAAAAAGGTTATTTTTCATAGTTCATAGTTTGATTCTGTAGCTTTAGTAGAAAACAACGTTGGAATAAAGAGTAAAAAGAGTTTATTACTGTTGGAATAGAATTTATAGTAGCTAAAAAAGGTTATTTTTCATAGTTCATAGTTTGATTCTGTAGCTTTAGTAGAAAACAACGTTGGAATAAAGAGTAAAAAGAGTTTATTACTGTTGGAATAGAATTTATAGTAGCTAAAAAGAATTACTTATAGCTAGATTCTCTTCCGGGGGCTATAGTAGCAAACAGGGTTGGATAGTAAATAGAGTTGACTAATTATTACTTTTATAATAGAAGTCATAGTGTAAAAAATATGTAAGCGTGTTTAAAATGTTTGTTTTTTTAATTCAATATACTTCCTTATTATTCAATACAATAAACCTGTTTATTTTAATACAATAAACCTGTTTATTTCAATACAATAAACCTGTTTCTGTTTTGGTTCAATAAACCTGTTTATTTTTTCAGTACAATAAACCTGATTTTTTCAGTACAATAAACCTGTTATTTATATCAAAGTACATTATTTTAGTTCAGTAAGCCTTTTAATTTTTTTAGTACATAAACCTGTTCATTATTTCAGTACAATAAGCCTGTTTATTTTTCAGTGTAATAAACCGCTTTATTTTTTTCAGTACAATAAACCTTTTTATCAGTTCAGTACAATAATTCTGTCTATTATTTCAGTACAATAAACCTGCCCATTATTTTAGTACAATAAACCTATTTATTGTTTCAGTACAATACACTTGTTTATTATTTCAGTAGAATGAACTTGTTTATTACTTCAATACAACAAACCTATTATTATTTCAGTACAATAAACCTGTTTATTTTTCAAGTACAATAAACTTGTTTATTATTTCAGTACAATTAACCTGTTTATTATATCAGTATAATAAACCTGTTTATTATTTCAGTACAAGGAATTTGTTTTTTATTTCAGTACAATAAACTTGTTTATTATTTCAGTACAATAAACCTGTTTATTATTTAAGTAGAATAAACCTGTTTATTTTTTTAATACAATTAACTTGTTTATTATTTCTGTATAAACCTGTTTTTATTTTAGTACAATGAACTTGTTTATTATTTCTGTATAAACCTTTTCAGTACAGTAAACCTGTTTGTTATTTTAGTACAATAAACCTGTTTATTTTTTCAGTACAATAAACCTGTTTAATATTTCAATACAATAATCTTGTTTATTATTTCTGTATAAACCTGTTTATTATTTCAGTACAATAAACCTGTTTACACCCTGGTGGAAAGTTTCAAGTTTGTGAGACTGTATCCTTTAACCCAGGAGGATATTCCAATAGAGGTAAAAATTCATTCAATTATGTATCAATTTATCGATGTTTTCAGTTATTTATATATAGTCAGTAAAATAAACCAAAAATTTTAATATTTTTTCCAAACATTCATCCTATTTTTCATATGTTAATTTATTCTATTTAATGAATTATCATTTATTCCAGTGATCATTAATTTTTTCAGTTATTCATTATTGATTTTTTTCATTTAGTTATTAATATTCAAGATTTTTTTTTTTAAATTCTAAATCTTATTTATTTCTTATATATGATAACTTCTAAGTATTTAAACAAGTTTTCGAGGTTTCCCTACAATAGTATCACTTACTATGTCTTCCTCGGGTGTATCATTAAATCCTACGAAGAGTTCAATTTTCTATTGGTTCTAACTTTTTTGAGAGCTGGTTTTAACATACGACATTCACAACATGCACAAAAAAAGTTTTATATTTTCGGGATTCAATGATAATTGTTGCATAAAAGAATGTATCATTTACTCTCAGACAAATTTCAATGATAAACCCATGGGCTGCGCCCTCGGGTTTATCATTGAATCCTTCGGGGGTTTAAATTTCCATTGATTCTTATTTGTCTGAGAGTAAATGGCATTCCTTTGTAAATATTTGTAAATATTCCTTTGTGAATATTAAATCGATTAAAAGGGGCGGGATTAAATGAAAATTGTTTCATACCAAAAAACTAGCTTTTTTAAAAAGAATGTTTATTTTAGTATCAGTATCCTGGAGGTAGAAAGGATGATGCAACCTGTTCTCCAAGATTAGATTATACCCCGCCCTCCCTTCTCACCCTGCTCTTCACAGATCTAGGGATACTAACCCCCAGTGCTGTTTCAGATGAACTTATTAACCTGTATTTATAATAAACGATTATAAATCACATCAAAAATGATGTTTATTATTTAAAATGATTTAGGTTGAATCAGGTTCTTGATAGTAATTGGTAATTCTAATAAAAGAAATATTAATGCAGTTCAGTTAAAGATAAAAACAGTTAAAAGACGTCTATTATACCAAATAATAGTATTTTTTAAACTCTAAAAATTAAACCTAAAAAAGTTTTAAAACATTTATTAAATAAAATCAAATTTTTTGTTAACATTAAAAACCGTTATTGAGCAACATTTATAAGACTATTCAACATAATCTGTAAATTACAATTCATACACATAATATACAAGCACTACAATTGTTATTAAGTTGTTAAAAAGTTAAAATCTGAAGATCCCTTAAATAATACTTATTTTACTACATTATTGGGTGAGAAAAATAAGAATTAATCACGGGATATTGATAGATATATAGGTCAGCTATATATAATTATAGAAACTAAAACTATGTTAAGTCATTCTCACATTCATGACACTAACAATTGCTTTTTGTTTAATTTTTTTTACCCTAAGCCCTTTAAAAATGCTCATTTCATGTTTTTTTTATTAAAGGCGTAGCAAGGGAACGGGGCCAAAACATATTCGTAAAAATATTTTTTTATTTCAATATATCATGCTTATTTTAAGATTTAGGTCTGCCAGAATGTTTGGCCGTGAAAAAAATGGTTATCACAGATAGATTCACCAATCAAGATTAGTCCGATATGGTTCAGGTTCTTAAAAGTAAACTGTCAGGCGAACTGTTTGATATACAACAGTGTCCTGAAAATGAAGAAGAAATTCGGCTAAGGAAAACCTTAGAAACTTAGATTTTAATTTACAATATCTTTTAGGAAGAATGCTCAAATTTCATTTAAAGGAGATCCTAGAAATTCAAAATCATTATTAAACACCCCCTCTTTTTTATTTTACAAGGCTTTCAGGGCACTTCGCGACCATCCCTAATTTAACATTTTTTTCTTTATTTACAACATACATTGTAAAACTTAAACAAAAGGTCGCGGATTTTATTTTAAAAATTCGTGGATTTTCAAATTTAATGAAAATCGCATTTTGTTTGAAGCTATTTTTTGATATTTAGATCCTCCTTAAACCTTCCCTGGGGTCATGTGAGGTCCCACACAAAATTTGGGCCCGACCGGTTCGGCCGTTTTGACGTTTATTGGATACAATTAAAAAGACAAGTATTTAAATCTATGCTTTGAGGGCGCTTCGCGCCCATCTTCTGTTACAATTTTCATTCCCAAAAAAATAAAACTCTCAGTCATAGAGGACGATGCTATCTCATTTGGACTACTGCCGTTTGAACTATTGTTCATTTGAACTATTGTTCATTTCAACTACTGCACGTGGGACCACGTGAGTAGTTTAAATGAACAATAGTTCAAACGAGTAAATATATTGCTCATTTGAACTATTTTTTAGTTCATTTGAACTATTAAAATATTATTAATGAAATAAACAAAAATAAACGTACCATAGTTCAAACGGCAGTAGTTCAAATGAGAAGACACTCCATAAAGAATGGTATGGTCCGACAATTAGAAATGATCATTTCCTTGCATTTTGACAAATTTAATCCTAGAAGGGAATGTTCAGTACTATTGAATTTCTAGGCACCCCTTCGATAAAAATGGCGCACTCTCCGGATCAATCCATAATCAAAAATTATTATTTTCTTCGATCAAATGGGAGGTGTTCACCGTTCAGTATAATTGGATTTCTAGACGACCCTTTCAATAAAAATGGCGTTTTTTGATTCACACTTTCTTCCTACGAATAATATATTTGTAAATATATTATATTATCTATAATAATATTATAATTGAAACTAAAGATACAATAAATAAATGGTTGCATTTTGTCCTTGAAATACAAAAAAATATTATGATACATTCACAGTTCAAGAAAATCGTAATTTGACAAATCCTGTGTGTCAAGAACGTAAGGTAGAAGGGTTGGAACCCAGCTGTTCCCTTCATCTAATAAGAATCTCGGGCCTCCCTCGGCCCGACTCGGATTTATTATTCAAAAATATCGAATCTCGGTTATTTCTGCGAAATGAAATTCAACCCCTTGTGACGTTAAAAGACAAAATAATGTATATTTCCTTAACATAAACTATTTGACAGTTAAAACTAGTCGTTTTTTCGAGCGTGAGTTGAAATATTGATAAGATGTAGTGTAGAATATAGATTTACTGTTCAAACAGAAGGTAAAAAAATCTAGGTTTTTCGAACAAACGAAAGGAAGGAGGAAGTAAAGGATAGTTAACAAAAGGGAGATGCGCATGAGGAAAGAAAGAAGGAAAGGATAGTGTTAAACAGAAGGAAGATATGTAATGAGGAAAGAAGGAGGGAAAGGATTGTGTCAAACGGAAGGAAGCCGTGCAATAAGAAAGGATAGGGTTAAGCGGAAGGAAGATGTGCTATGAGGAAAGAAGGAAGGAAAGAATAGTGTTAAACGGAAGGCAGATGTACAATGAGGAAAGAAGGAAGGAAAGGATAGTGTTAAACGTAAGGCAGATGTACAATGAGGAAAGAAGGAAGAAAAGAATAGTGTTAAACGGAAGTTAGATGTACTATGAGGAAAGAAGGAAGGAAAGGATAGGGTTAAACGGAAGGAAGATGTACAATGAGGAAAGAAGGAAGGAAAGGATAGTGTTAAACGGAAGGTAGATGTACAAGGAGGAAAGAAGGAAGGAAAGGTATATGTTCAAAAAGGAAAGGTATATGTTCAAAAAGGAAAGAAGGAAGGAAAGGATAGGGTTAAGCGGAAGGAAGATGTGGAATGAGGAAATAAGGAAGGAAAGGTTACTTATAAACGGAAGGTAGATTTGCAATGAGGAAAGAATGAAGGAAAGGATAGGGTTAAACGGAAGGTAGATGTACAAGGAGGAAAGAAGGAAGGAAAGGATAGGGTTAAACGGAAGGAAGATGTACAATGAGGAAAGAAGGAAGGAAAGGATAGTGTTAAACGGAAGGAAGATGTGCAATGTGGAAAGAAGGAAGGGAAAGATATTGTTAAACTTAAGGTGGATGTGGATTAAAGGGTAGTAAACGGAAGTTAGATGTGCAATGAGGAAAGGTTAGTGTTAAACGGAAGGTAGATGTGCAATGTGGAAAGAAGGAAGGGAAAGATATTGTTAAACTTAAGGTGGACGTGGATTGTGCAATGAGGAAACAAGGAAGGGAAAGATATTGTTAAACTTAAGGTGGATGTGGATTGTGCAATGAGGAAACACGGAAGGGAAAGATATTGTTAAATCTAAGGTGGATGTGGATTGTGCAGTGAGGAAACAAGGAAGGGTTTATAATTTATATGAACAATATTATTATACCCAGACCCACAAAAAATGAAACTTCAAAGGCCAGATCCGACTGGACACATTTTATTCAAATCTATATCTTCTGTTGTAGAACAGTTATCTTATCCATAATATTATCCGATCACTTTTAGACATTTCTGATAAAAACACAAAGGAATTTAGTCTTTGCCACAAACTCTTATTTTCTAATAACTATATCTTTAAAACCTAATGTCATAGACCTTAGATATTTCAAACTAAGAATTCTGTGAAATCAAATAATCTTGAAATATCAAATTAAGCACTTTGATTTCATGCGCACTATTTCACATTCGAGTCAAATGGACTTTTTAGGGAAATAAAATTTTTTTATAGGATGGAAGAACCCTTTGTTGTGAAGGAGAAGGAACCCAGTCTTACTCTGCCGGAGATACATCTGCCTGAACCTGATCTAGAGGAGGCGGAGGCGGAGGGGCCGGAGGAATGGGAGGCGGACGGCGATGGAGGAACCCGTCGTGTTAAACTCATCCGCAGCCATGCTATCCGGGACTCCGTCTCACCTCCGCCACCAGGACGGGTTTCCCCACATTCTCCGCCGAGGTTCAATTCGGCGGGTGAGGGGGGCGGAAGTGGTAGCGATCTTAGATCAATAGGTGATTTTTATAATTTTATGAATTCTTGTATTTATATTTTTTTTCATTCTCTTCTATAGTTTCAGGTAGCGATGGGGTATGTGAGGGTGGATTGGCAGAACTAGGGGACTCTGGTGAGTTCTTAAAAAACTAGTTTACATCTTTTAAATCCCAGACTTGAATAATTGCTAGAATACAACCTAATAATAATACAACCTACACCCCTTAGAATTCATAGAAACCTAGTCTACAATTTATTTTACAAAGAAAGTTAGAGCACTTACTTAGAAAACCTATATTTTTTAGCACATTATCAAAATTTAGAAATTTTAGAGTCCAAAAATACCATAAAATTAGAAAATGAGACCTCACTTACGATCCTGTGTACATTACACCAGACTTCTCTAACCTTCTTCATAAAATTATTATCTTTACAGGAGAGCTTTGTGAAACAGCTCTTTAAGCTATCAAAGCTCTCCTGCTGGAGTACTTTTACATACATTTAATATTCTAATGTTTTGTTAATCACTGTTATGATTTATTATCACTGCAGAAAAATATATGATTTGATTAGAATATACAATGTATATACTGTATCTAGTATCTGAGAGTGGAAGGTTGGATACAGATACTCCAGATGAGAACTTGTACACAGATAGTACAGGGATAGATCTTACTCAGTTCATCATCTCAACCCTCAACAAGAACACTAAGGACAGGATGCTCATGCTCAAACTAGAGACGGTAATCTATTATTATTATCATTATTATAATTATTATTATTATTATTATTTTTATTATTATTATTTTTATTATTATTATTATTATTATTATTATTATGATTATGATTATGATTATGATTATGATTATGATTATGATTATGATTATGATTATGATTATGATTATGATTATGATTATGATTATGAGTATGATTATGAGTATGATTGATTATGTTTTTTTAACTATAATTATTATTGTAATTGTTATTATTTTTAGCACTGTTATTATTAATGTTCAGGATATGACAGCTCTTGTCAAGGATCCTAAAAAAGGACATCAAAAATTTCCCCAAATGTCGTCTTACCACAGAATGCTTGTTCACAGGTTTGCTTACCTTTAAATTGTTCAAATCAAATTAATTAAGACTTAATTGATAATTTATTTATTAATTATATTAACAGTTACATTAATTTAATTTTTAAGTAAAACTTTATAGGAATCCTCATGATTAGTGATGACGCATATTTTATTCATAAATGTAATTTTCATGTTATGTATTATTGCCCCAGTCACTTTGTAATAACTTCATTATCACTACTTTTAAATAAGTCGTAAGTTCCTTGATTCATTAATGTATTTTTATCTTAACATTCATTTTGTCGTAAACTTTTTTCGTTATTTTTCATTTATTTATTCACTTATTTATGTTTTAAGAGTTGCCGCGTATTTCGGATTAGATCACAACGTGGACCAGACCGGAAACTGTGTAATAGTAAATAAAACGAAGACGACAAGACTCCCGGATATGAAATTTAGAGATCATGTTCCAGAGGATGCTGTTCTCTCAACTTCAGAACCAAGAAGGTATGATCCTGATTCTATCATTGTTCTGGTTCCACGTCCCGATCCTGAGTGATCATAATCAAGAATAAGATCAAGATCCTTATCCTGATCCCGAAACTGTTGATGAACCTACCCCCGATCATACGCTTTATTTTGATCTTGATCCTAACTCAATATTCACTGCACCTGAGACCTATCCTTATCATTGTCTAAATTTTCTTCTGTTATTCTTACTTTTCGACAATCTCATAGACACTGTCGTCGAAAAATTTAGTGGCCCTCCATTCAAAAAAAGAGGTGGATGTCCGATTCACAATAGTACCCTAAATTCAATTAAACACTTTTTGGGTCGAAAATGCCAATATCTTAAACATTATTTATCCGATTCAGGTTTCAAGGGTACCGTTGTTAATCGGTAATTGCCAACTTTGCATGGAGGGCATGGGTACTGAAATAGGGTAAGGTAGTCATACGATTTGGAATCCTGTACCATACCTACGTCACAACGCCCGTATCCGCTCACTGCGCTCTCCTCTGCTCCGTTCATAGGTATTGGAATATGACGTCAGAGGGTACCCCGTACCGTATCGACCTTTCATTCGTGCGCAAGCTTCGTTGCGATATCTTATTGACTATCTTGATGGAGGGTCACTTTAAATTACGCTGACAGTCCCTTTTATCAAACGTAGCTTTAAAGTGTATAGTTGTGAAATGGACTTGCCCCTTCATCAATGGAGGTTTTCTGAAAGTACGTTCACAGCCACTTTAATAACAACGTAATTTTGATTCTTTTTCAGATTGATCTTAAAGCGTGAAAGTTGCAGCTGTGACAGTGGTGACAGACACAGCGACAACAGCAGTAGAAGGAGTAAAAGCATAGGTTATAGAAAATAGGAAACCTTGGAAAATCTAAAATATTCAAAAGAAATGAGGTTTTTGTCACAAATTCGGATTTTCTAATCTATATCTTTGAAACCTGATGTCGTAGACCTTTAATATTTCAAACTTTAAATTCTGCTTTAGTTTGAAATATCAAAGGTTTACACCGTCAAGTTGCAAAGCTAGAAAAATTATAAAATTTGAAATTGTGGCAAAGACTCCAGTCATCTTAGTGACTTTAATATGTCACTAATAGCAAAATCTCTGGAACCCCCACTCCACCTGTGTTAAGGTTCGTCTCGGGTTAAAGTGATATATATTATTTTGTAGAAGAACGTGAGGAGGATTATGAACGGGCAAAGCGACGAATATTCAATGACTCGTCCCGGGACCATTATGTTCAATCTTATAAATATTCTGTTAATCTAGGTAACATACAGTGGGACACATAAAACGGGAATAGGAAGACGATATGTTAACAATCTTAAAGGGAGTGTTCGCGAAAAATGAAAGGGGGTATAGGCTCAATGCGATAAGAAAGCGCTTTTGATCGCTACTAATTTTACTTCTATCTGTTGCGTCTATAAGGAGAAAATTGTTAAAAACGACTCACACTGAAGAACGTAGTGTTTATTCAAATTTGGAAAGATGCAACATTCAACTCGTATCGTAAAAAAATCTATTTAATTCCCAACAAATCATTCAGATATTACAAACAATAGTCATCGATTATTTTTCGACGCATTCGTAAATAGTTGATATTTCATAATATTTTGTATTTTTCGTGATCTGAGAGTTACATTTTTTCCTGTTTCGAGGATTTTTGATAATGAAGACGACATTTTCATATTTTCCAGGCATGTTCGAAAATCCAGCGCCAGCGAAAATTAATCTAAAATAAACAAAATCAAAAATATTATGAAATATTAACTATGTATGAATGCGTCGAAAAATAACCGATGACTATTGTTTGTAATATCTGAATGATTTGTTGGGAATTAAATAGATTTTTTACGATCCGAGTTGAATGTTGCATCTTTCCGAATTTGTATGGGCGCTACGTTCTTGGGTATGAAACGTCTTTAACAATTTTCTCCTTACAGACGCAACTGATAGAAGTAAGATTAGTAGCGATCAAAAGCGCTTTTTTATCGCATTAAGCCTATACCCCCTTTCATTTTTCGCGAACACTCCCTTTAAGTGTAATTGATGTTGTTATGCTATAAGTAGTTTTAATAGTACTACTATAGCTTGAAATTAACTTTTAAATTGAAACGGGTTTGTGTGCACAATTTCTGTGATTCATGTTCACTGTTCATTGGACTTTTTGAAATCATAACTTGAGTCTAACAGTTGTCTTTCAATAACACAGTTTGGTGAGTTCCTTTACATATTTTTCAATTCCACCTCGTTAAAAGAAAAGAAAATTCAGATTTTTTTATCAAATTTGTGTTTTTATAGCTTTAAAGTTAGACTTGGAACCCAAAGAGTAAATTGTTTTCTTTTGAAAAAAAAATGAACGAAAAGCCAAATTTGAATTTTTTTCTTGTAAAAAGTTAATAAAACAATTTTAGATTAATCACTTTAGTGTTGTTTAGCTCCATGAATACTTTATCTTCATCTCTTGTTTTTTTTAACAAATTCATTATTTCATGTTTTCTTTTATTTAAGGAAGTACCAAAGGTGCCATACAAGCTCGATCTTTCGATATCCGGGACTCAATTCGAGATTCATCGGACAGACCTCAGGAACTTAGTCTAGTCAATTTACAACCCTTTTTCATTGATTAAATAGAGATTATTTAGTTGGAGGTTTTTTAGAATTAAATTGTCTTCGGTTTTTTTAACTGAACTTTTTGTGAACTTAAATCATTTTTTGTTAAAAGTCTTCAAGCATTTTTTTTATTTCAAATTAAAAAAATTTTGGTCAGGCCTCATAAAATTAGTCTAGTCAATTACAACCATTTGTCTTAAATACATGTAGTTCATATGTATGATTATATGTATAATCGAAAAAAAATTCAAAAATGCCATGACAAACTTTTTATCCACGATATTGAATGTCGCCTTAGAAGGTCGATTAAGCTTAACGACTGTTAATGGACAAGTAATTATTATTTTACGTTTCAATCTGTATACACCCCCCCCCCCCTTTATATTAAGACTAGATTTATAATCCTTTATATTCAGGTCTCTAAATCCTTTAGTTTTGGTGGATACCCTGCTGCACAGCATCTAGAACCTTCTAGATCTGGATACAAGGTTAGTTTATACCTGAGCTGAAAACTTTAGAATGGGATATCCTTAATTCCGATCGGTCAATTAATCTGGAGATTAATAACATGAGGAGAACAAGCATTATTTAATCTTGAGATTAATAAAAAGAGTGGATCAAGCCTTAATCCCGATATCCACCATTCAAAAGTTCCCAGCTCTGGATAGTCTCTAGTTTGGATACAAGGTTTTATATGGCTATCCAACCCCATTCTTCTCTTTCTTGTGTAAGTTGAAAACTTAATATTTTTACTAAAAACATTTTATTCTAGGCGACTCCGCCCACTTTAAGCAAAGGCCAGGTTGTTTGGGCAGTCAGGTAACACCCTAATAAATACTAGCTGAAGGGCCCGGCGTTGCCTGTGGAAAAAAATATCTAATTTTTTTAGCCCATAACACCCCAGGCTACCCATGAGTGTCCACAAAAAATGTCAACCCATTCAGTCCAGCCGTTTGGCCGGCCAGAGGGAACATATATATGAATGTCTTGTTTTATTATATAGATTAACTTAATCATGCATATGCTGTACAACTACACAGTACAGTTCTGTGTACACTATACAGTACTGTTTACATTGACTTCAAATTATGGCAATTAGTTAAATAAGGTCTTTTTAGGTTCCAGCTCCATTATATTTTAAAAAGAAGAAAGATTTTTATTTGCCAAGAAACTGTCTTGTTGACAATATATGAAAAGAAATGTTGTGTATATTGTTCCAGGGGTGGGTGGGGTAATAATTTTGATGATTTTGAGGAAATGAAGAAATGAAAAATTGGAAATCAAAAGACAACTTTTTTCTCTTTTTTGGTACTTTTTACTCAAAAATGCATTGATTTTCTCTTAAAAATAATTTATTTCCCACCAATTCAGCAAATAAAATCCTTTTAAAAAATCATAAAAATTATTTTAAAGAGGGGGGGGGGGGAGAAAAGTGTATTGAATAATTGATATATATTTTAGTGATCTGTGCACTGTACCGAAGGGATCTGTTCTAATAAACCCTGATACTGGTACACCGTACCTTAACAGGAATATAACTCAAACAATCAATCAATTAAGAGATCAATGTTATCAATCAATGTAAACAATTAATCAACTAGTCAGCTTGATGATTTATACAACTAGGGGTCGGGGTCAACCCATATTTACGCATTTTATCCATAGATAAAGATAGATTGCGCATAAGACGACATTTTTCATCTTGAAAGATATAAATGTACAGAGATGTTTTAAAGATATTCCTATTATATAGATTAACTAGGTCGGTTATGAACATTGGCTGTTCTTATGTCATTGAGTACTTGTGGTCTACATGATTTCTGTAGAGAGAAATTTAAGTTAGTTTAGTCCTTCTCATGTCCTTCTTCAGTTCTCGTCAATATGATATATTGCCCAGGGAAATATTGTTGCTCAAATAGTTCCATTCCCGGAGTTATTTTACACTCTATAATGAAATCCATTAAACACCAAACCACCCCGCTTATCATTGAAGTACACTTTGAACCCTAGAAGTATGAGTTCGCGGACTGAACAATTCTTGGTGATTTTGCGTACATAAGCTATCTATGTTTATTCATTTATCTATGATTTTATCTGTGAACAGTCTTAAAACAAACACAGTATGCTTGAGTGATCTGTAACCCAGTGATGGATCTGTGTATGCATTTGATCCTGGCAATCCTCCACGTTTCCCTGGATCCGAGGATCCCTCCTCCTCCCCTCATCATCTACACCATGAGCTGGCCAAGCTGAACCTGGAGGGAGAGAAGATGGTTTATCAGCAGAGTTGGATGATTTCTCCCCGCTCCTCTGCTCCGTATATACTAGTCAATCCTGTATCCACGCTACCCCAGTACCTACCCTACCTGTATCCTTCTTTTCAGGTTCATCAATAATTATAACGGGGATTGACTGATTCAGAACGGTACCCTGCAAACATTTGTTCTTTCAAGAGGGAAGGAGATATTCCTGATTTTCGAGCTTAAACATGATTATTTTCAATTTTCAATGTTGGTTCTGTTGTGTATCAATCATGTCTAAAGGAATTACATCTTTGCCATAAACTCAAATTTTCTAATCCCTATATCTTTTCAACTTGATTGCGTAAACCTTTGATACTTTTAAATCAGATTGTTTGTTCTAACAGAATTGATAATTTGTCTATTAGGTATATGACATTGGGTTGAAAGACTCAATTCCTTTATAGCAAACATCTACTAATAATACATTCATTGTTAAAAATTGGAAAAATCGGATAAAAACAATTTTCCAATATTTGAATTGTCAGACTCCTCTCCTCGGATAATGGGGGTTATATATAGAAACATTCAATGAACAGGATCCCCGGTTCAAACTTCAATTTTTATGGGTTGTCTATTAAATTATGATAAGAATAATAATAATAATAAATAATAATGATAATAATTTGATCAGGAGAATCCTGGATCAGATCTCAACCTAGCTCAGCATAATCTACAGTCTTCTCATCTAGCTGGACCTGGAGTACTAGGTCCTGGACCCTCTCAACCCCCTCCGCATCCAACCCAACCTATTCCTGTGATGAACCCGAACCAGGTTCTGGGAGGCGTGGTTCAATCCTCTCTGCCCGGACTGGGCGGAGCAGGACCGCCCCCTTTACCTCTCAGCAACCACATTCCACAGAACGGTCTGGTCCAGGCCGTACAACAGGTTTTTAGATTTTTAAAATTTTTTTAATGATTTTCCGTTTTTTTTTTAATTTCCCCAGCACTGTCCTATAATTGCATTTTTCCAAATGGTTTTGGAGTGCTTGAATTTTTAAGGTAACCCAACACAAAGATGCGCAATCCAAGAATAAAATAAAATACAGGGTGTCCCACTAAATATGACAGTGACGAGATGACTTGAAAGTCGTCGTTAATCTTTGATAATTAGCTAAGGATCAATTATTTATCAAGAAATTACTGGACTTAGAAACGCTTCTGGAGGGACACCACATACAATTTTTTAAATCAATTTGTTTTTTGACATAAATTAACGATATTGACGTCGCGTCGTTTCTCAAAAAGGGTTTCCATTTTCTTCAGGATCAATTTGGATGCGTTAAGGCCTTACGGAATCTTTCTTGAAGAATTTAACAACGGCAAAACCATTAAAAACTTTTGGGAATTGATGAGGGAACCTATTTTAACTAGATTAAAAATAAGTATACCCTAGATGCTTCAAAGAGCTAGGGGTGACATGCTGAAAAAAGCTTCATTAAAGGTTCCGCAAGGCCTTTTTGCGACCAAATCCGGGAGAAATTGGAAACCCTACTATTTACTAACTTCTTGTACAGTGTTTATTGTCATCCTTGTTTCTTTGATCAAGGATTCAAAGTCATGACATGGTGAATAGTTAATGGGTCACAACTCAATTTTCTGTTGACAATTTCTTTAAATCATCTTATTTTGTGTAGGGTCAGTATCAGTATCCAGGTGGTCAACTAGTCAGTTCCCCTCCTGTAGGACAGAAACCATTCCTCTTCTCTATACATAGATCCCCTCAACATTCAGTAGTAATATTCCTTCAACATTGTCCTGCAGTACTATCCAGGTATATATTCATCTATACATAGATCCTTTCAATATTCAGTAGTAATATTCCTTCAACATTGTCCTGCAGTACTATCCAGGTATATATATATTCATCTAAACATAGATCCCCTCAATATTCCTCTATACATAGATCCCCTCAATATTCCTCTATACATAGATCCCCTCAATATTCCTCTATACATAGATCCCCTCAATATTCCTCTATACATAGATCCCCTCAATATTCCTATATACATAGATCCCTTCAATATTCCTCTATACATAGATCCCTGCAACACCTGGAAAACTTCTTGATTTATGAAAGATAGGAAACGTAAGATTAAAATTGAATACACTTTTTGTTAAGTACAAATTATGTTAGGTTGCAACTGGTAGGAATGTTAGATCCCTTTTTGTCTGGTCGTGGACAAATTCAATACCTGGATCCATCCAGTCAATGGACGGATATACAATCCCTAGCTCCTGATACTCTTCTTACTAATAGGTGAGAAAAATTAACTGGATAAATTGAAGTGGGAGAGAGAGAGAAGAGAGAGATATCTAGTATATGAGAGTTTAGCGAGAGAAACAGGGTTTAGGACACTTTAGCGAGAGAGACATTGTTTAGCAGAGTTTAGCTTAGAGAGACAGGGTTTAGGAGACTTAAGCGAGCGAATGGAATTAGGAAAGTTTAGAGAGAGACAGGGTTTAGGAGAGTTTTAATAGAAAGAGAGAGAGAGAGAGACGGTGTTTAGGAGAGTTTAACGAGATAAACAGGGTTTAGGAGAGTTTAGAGAGAGACGGGGTTTAGGAGAGTTTAGAGAGAGACAGGGTTTAAGAGAGTTTAGAGAGATACAGGGTATAGGAGAGTTTGAATAGAGAGAGAGGGAAAGACGGTGATTAAGAGAGTTTAGCGAGTGAAACAGGGTTTAGGAGAGATTAGCGAGAGAGACAGGGTTTAGGTGAGTTTAACTAGAGAGACAGGTTTTATAAGAGTTTAGCGAGAGAGTTGAGTTTAGGAGAGATGAAAGAAGGAAAGAGAGATAGATATACAGATTATGAGAGTGTATGGAGAGAGATATAGATTATGAGAGTTTTGGGAGAGAGATACAGACTTTGGAGGGAGATAGAGTGTATTATTATTATTATTATTATTAGAAATTAATAGGTTAATAATTTAAAGAAGGAAAATAATAAAGATGAGATAAAGTTTAAAAGAACCAAGTTTGTGTCACAAACTCAAATTTTCGAATCCTTATATATTTGCAACCCAATGTCGTAGGCCTTAGATATTTCATAAAATGAATTTAGTTTGATAAAATAATCTTAGTTTGAAATATCAAGGTTTACACCACTAGGCTCCAAAGATTATAAGGATTAGAAAATTTGAGTTTGAGATAAAAATTTGAGTTCCTTTATATTTACAGTTTGTTTGGATGTGAAAAGTAAGATTGTTGAGGTAGAAAGAAGGTTCTAAAGTTAGTTTTAGAGAACTGGTACAGTAAAGAGATTAAATTTCTCTAAAAGATCGAAAGAAAAGGTTAAAAAGAAGTTCAGAGAGAAATCAAGGACTACTTATTTATAACAACCCACTGTCCGGCGATGAAAGTAGTAAATGAAGAAAATAAGGTTTTGTTTGTTTAGATATCCGATACAGATAGTTTTCGACTCCGAGGATCTAGCTTCCCAGACAATATCATCCCTCAAGAAAGCAGGATTTCTTATGGAACCTCAAGACTAATCTTAGCTCAGCTCAGATCAAGACTAATTCAAGATCATCTCAGAATAAATCCAAGCTTAGATTAATTAAAAATCAGATTAGGATTAATTTCAGATAGAAGATCAAAACCTTTTGTGTTAATAATCAATCACAAGTCATCCGATTCTTTTTCTTCGTCCGAAGGATAAAATTAATTTCTCTCGGAGTTTTCGAAACCCAGCAATGATAACTAAAATTGAGTGATCAAGTTGCATATCGAGGTCAAGCGTTGTTGATTAGCGCACACAAAAGTTTTGACCTAAGGACTAATCTGAGATCAACTAAGATTAAAATAATCTCAGCTTAGATCATGACAAGTATTAAGTGGATCCCAAACTCCTTGGCCAGATCTCTCATTAGAAAATCTAATCTCTTGAACGGAAATGCATTGGGCAGCTCTATAAATAATGATGATTTCCACCCTCTAAGCCTAGCCTGGCTCTACGGAGCTAGTTTTATCAATATAGACATAGTTTTCTTGAGCTAATCCATAGATTTACGAGCTAACAATCTAGAATTTAATCCCAGTGATAAATTTACATAAACTTCCCTCTCCCAAAAAAACCGTTAACCTAAATAAACCCAAAAATATCTGTAAAAGAATGTTAATTAATAATTAAATTATATTCATATTTCTAAACCGGTTTAGGTAAAACAGAAATTGTACAAAAATCCTGTTACTATTTTCAACGAAAATTACATTAGAAAACTTAATGGGTCGATTTTTTTGATGAGGAACCGAGTTCTTGCCACAAACTCAGATTGTTGTAGACCTTTGATGCAGGGGTGTATAAAATTCCAATTTTTTATTCTTCCCACCCCTTAAATTTTTTGGGGGGATTTCCTTCCCCAAATTCGATAACTAAAAAAACATCGTTTTTAAATATCTATATTGCAGTGCATAATAATCCCTAAAATGATGCATTTTAAAAAGCATAAAGGGCGCCGCTGGCAATATTTTTTTATACTTTGGATAATGGTATGGTGGCAATAGCAAATAATGTCGGGATTGATTATTTGTCAGTCCAAGAGTATATTGTTTCTTGAAACATTTCCCATCATTTTTCTTGGGGGGAGAATTTGTGAAATTTTTAAGTATGTTTGACTATTTGAAAAAATTATTGATCATTCTTTTACCAAATTTTTACCACGTTTATAACTATTGGGGAAAGAATTTACGAAAAACTCTCTGATTTTAGATAACATTTTGAGGATATGTAGAGGTAAAGAGCTCCATCCCTTCCCTTCCCTATATTCCCCTTTCCTTCACTTTTTTATCTGCAACCCCTCCATCGATTCTCTACCTTCCCCTTCCCTTCTTCCCTCCCCTTCTATTTCCCTCCCAAGTTCCCTGTCCCTTCCGTAGTTCCCTATATTCCTCTTTCCCTCTCAACCTTCCCGTTTTCCTCTCAATCTTTCCATTTCCCTTCCAACCTTCCCCGTCCCTACTTTTTCTCTTCCCTACCTATCTCTTTCCCAAACCTATCCAATTCCCTCCCTTTCCCCTCCCTACCTTTCCCCCTTCCCTTTTTTTGCTGTTACCCTTTTCCTTTACTTTTTTCTTCCCCTTTTCCTTTACTTTTTTCTTCCCCTTTTCCTTTCATTTTTCTCTCTTTTTCCCCTTTTTTCTTTCCCCTTTTTCTTTGCCTTTTCTTTTCCCTTCCCCTTTTTTCCATTTTTCCTTCCCTTCCCCTCCTTTTGGGCCTTTGATTTCTTTCCCCCTTTCAGGGGGGGGGGAGATCGAATTGTATACATCCCTGCAGTTTGATATTTTAAATCATCATAGCCGATAAGCCGATAAGCCGATAGCCGAACAGCCAATAAAAAGCCGAGAAGTTTTGCTCGGAATTAACAAGAGAACTCTCATTGGTCGGGCCCAGGGAGGATATCCAAAATATAGGATTAAGCAGAAAATCAATTGTCCACGTGGGCATGATTTAGTAATCAGGATTAAATGTATCCATCCAATATAAGAGTTTTCAGCTTAGCTTGCAAAGATTAGGTCGAGATTATAAAAATTTGAAATTGTGGGAAAAACTCGACTCCTTCGTGAAATAGAATTATAAACCTCCCACGGCCCCCCAGACGAATTCGATTTAGTAAAATAAATCAAAGAAATCGTTTCAACTCTAGGTGTAAATTAGGAATTGTACATAAACGTATAAATGATGTAATGTGCGGCATGTTTTTGTGTTCTTTTTGACCGAATGTTCCCCTAGCTTATCCAACTATTTGTTTACATCGGTTCTTGCCAAAGTACAAGTACAAGATTTCAAAGTATTCTTCCAAGTAAAATCTCTTCCAAGCTATTTAATCAAAACATTTTATGTTTTTTACTACACGTATTTTTGTTGTCATGTCTCTCAAGGTTTTGATGACTCAACTTGAGTGCCAAAAACGTGGATTTAGATACTCTCTGATTTTAATTTACGTACTTCTCTCATAACTTTTCTTTGTAGCTGATCACTAAAACTGTACATGGACTTGGGTCATTCATTTAATTGCACACTGCAAATATTAAAATGAAATTTTAATTTAAAAATATTGTTTTGGTCTTCCTGGTAATCTAAAACAAAATCTGCACCAGCAATATATATATTTACTTCATTTTAATGTTGTCTCAAGTACATGTACATAGAAGTAGGTTGGATAAACCTTTAAGATACAATTCACGTACTTTGTACTAGTTGTACATAGTGTCAACTCTAATTATGTTTTTGTACACTATGTATTCTTGTAAATAAATATACTTCTCTGTCAAAAGTCTTTTTTTAATTCCTTTTAATAGATATATATTAGTTTTTAGTTTTTTAATATTTAGAATTGTTAAATATTTTCTAGAGCATGGGGAGGGAGAAAAGAAAAATAAATTTTTTTAAATGATAAAGTCTGCATAAAGACGTTTAGTGCATAGAAATCAACGAGAATTATAAATTATATTAGCAACTATGAGTTATTATTAAATATTTTTTCAACTATATGGACGAAGCTATAAAAAAGTAACAATTAAGCAATGAAAACTGATTTTCTCAAACTGATCCCTAACGATGAACGGTCCCTTTTGTAAAAAATAATTACAAATTTTACTGAGATTGTTTATTAACTCATTTTAAACTCAAATCTCTTGGTTTCCTACGGAGGATAAAATCCACTAAGCAACGCGGTCTGGACACAACCTAAAAATATCTAATTATTAAATCATAAATTACTTACAAAATTTGCCTGGCCGTTTAAAATATAATATTGAAAATGTACGAAACATGTTTCAGTCAGGCTACTTCGTAAAGGCCGTAACGGTTACCAGGTTGAGAACCCAGATTTGCCCATATTATAAAAGTCAACCCCGTCAACTTAGATTTGTTAAACTAAACCAAGAACATTTCCGTGGTTCTACTGAGTTGCACGACCAAAATTTTAGGGCAATCGGTCAATGGGTTCCTAAGTTATGTTCGGACATTTAACAGAGATTACTACTTTATATAGATAGACAAAAGAAGTTCAATTTACTTGAAGTATAACTATGGAACACAAACGGAATGGATCCGACTGGTTTTTTTTAAATATTCATGCAATTAGTGTAATTCTGAACGTGCCTACCCGAGAGCTGTCAGATGGTTTTCCTTCATCCGAGCCATGCAGCAGGGACGAATTCAAAACAGACACGGGAGGAGAGGAGCAGGGGTTGGTTTGAGAGGTAAGGGCTTTTCCAGCAATTCCGGAAGGTTGGCAGACGGGAGCAGCTTGGTAGGAGTGGTTGCGTTTGGAAGGAGGGAAGGATAGAAAGAAAAAGGACGTCGTTTTAGAGGGAGGTGAGCAAGGAGTATTTCGGGAAGGATGAGAAGAGGCATTATGTCGGGAGGGAGGGGAGGAAGGAATATGTCGGGAAGGCGGAGAGGAAGGAATATGTTGGGAGGAAGGGGAGGGAGACATATGTCTGGTGGGAGGGGAGGAAGGAATATGCTGGGAGGGAAGGGAGGAAGGATTATGTCGGAAGGGAGGGGAGGAAGGAATATGCTGGGAGGGAGGGGAGGAAGGATTATGTCGTAGGAAGGGAGATGTCGGGAGGGTAGGGAGGAAGAAGGCGATGTTATATATCTTTGAGAGGGAGGGGAGTGCGGACTGCCTCCTCTTGAAGAAAGACTGAAAAAATCTCTTGATGGAGAACTGATACCGGGAATGCAGTCCGACGAAGAAAGGGAATCATGTCGAAAAAACGAGAATGAAGTTATATTTCGGGAAGGAGTTGTGAAGTGAGGAGAAGAAGAAGTGTTGATAGAAGAAGGTGAAGGAGGATCAGTGACAGGAGAGGACACGGAATTATTATTGAAGAGAGGGGGGGAGGGATGTTTGAAGGAGCTTGGAAAGAGATTATTTGTGAGAGGAGGGGAGGAAGGAGCACTTTTAAAAGGCAGCGAGGAATGATATTGAGGATGAATCAAAGAATCGGAGGATAGAGGACAAATAGAACGTCGAGCAGGAGAGCTCTGTAGACTGGAGGACAGAGGTCGTCGGATAGGAGAGCTCAGTGGACTTGAGGATAGAGGACGTTGGATAGGAGAGCTCTGTGAACTTGTGGACAGAGGACGTCGGGTAGGAGAACTCTGAAGACTTGTGGACAGAGGACGTTGGATAGGAGAGCTCTGTGAACTTGAGGAAAGAGGACGTCGGGTAGGAGAACTCTGAAGACTTGTGGACAGAGGACGTCGGGTAGGAGAACTCTGTGGACTCGAGGACTGCGGACGAGGCCGGTTAGCATATCGGTCTGAAGATTTGTGTAAACCAGAAGGAAGAACCTTCTCAGTTCCCCTCATTTCTTCTAAATTGTAAATATACAAATGAATATATACATATATACAAACACGGATAAAAACCCTACCATAATCATTTTCTCTTGAAATTTTATACCAATAGTCGCCTATTGTTACACCTATTTTTAGACAGATGTATTTCATGTGTTCCTTAGATATACTACAATTCAAATGATCTCATAGAAATTAGCGTTGTTTTACACAACACAAATTCTTATAGCAGGGGTCATAATTAAAGCAAAAAATCTAAAAATGTTATGATAAAAATGCGAAAAAGATGTTGGTATATACATAAAAATCCGAGAAACATTCGCAAAAAATATCTTTTCTTCAGGAATTAAATGGATACCATATTCAGGCTGTAATGTTTCGCGGATTTTTTTTTCTATGTTCCAAAAAATATTTTTGTATTTGGTTCACTTTATTTCACTATTTTTCCACCTAAAACATAAACCCTGCAAAAAAATTGAAGTGTTTTCTAAAACGATCCTATTCCCGTTTTTTACTCACCTTGTGTACCCCCTTCATTTTCACTCACCTTGTGTACCCCTTCATTTTTACTCTTCTTGAGTACCCCCTTCATTTTTACTCACCTTGTGTGCCCCTTCATTTTTTTAGCGAAGTTTCAAATTGAATTAAAGTGATTAGATAGAATATCTAGAAATGAAATATGAAACCGTATTTTCAAAGATGGAAGAGCGGAATTGTTTTTTTCTTCTTTGGTTTAAAGAATTGTATTTTCCCAGCCGGAAAAAAAAACTCTCAAACCTGAATCTGTTCTTTGAATGAGAGGCCAGGAATGAACAAGTTTTCTCTTCTCTAAAACAAAAATATTCATGAAAATCTTTTTTTTATCTGTTTAGAATTTACCTTTTATTTCTTTTGCTTCTGTTCGTCTGAGAACAACTCTAGATTCAGGTCGTCTTTATACAATAAAGTTTAATTTTTTTATTTTACTTTTTAATTTAACAAATATCTTTTATTTCAGATTTAAATCTTAACTTTATGAGTACCTGAGAATATTGTATCTTCCCCTGGAAAGATTAAATTGAAAAATTATTATCTACACTTTACATTGAATTACAATATAACCAAACCTGACATAGGATTACTGCTATGGTGACATTTTTTAATATCCAAATGTGAATTAATTGCTTTCAATCTTCTGAATTTAAGAAATGTTTGGTTACAGCTGCAGAAAGGGTTTTCTATTGCGCGTAAATTTTTAGTGACATCTCTGTCTAGAATGGGGAGGAAGGCCAGACACAACAATTACTCGTCCGAGCCACATTTTTCTCATTATCTCGCCCAACTTTCGAGCCACCTCGGAACCCTCGTCCTTTCAATATATTGTTATTATGTTTTTAAAGTGTCTAATCCTAGAAAAAAAAAATTTTATCTGGTCATGTTAAATGTTACCTGAAATATCGAGTTTTTTAAATCAAAAAATTGTTTCAATTTAATTAGTTTTTGATTCCTATGCCCTTAAAATGTTCATTTATTTTATGCTCTAACGCGGCCAGATTTTTAAGAGTACTTTTATCATCAAGGATTGGACACTCTTAAAACATAAAAATGAAAGGACGAGTGTTTCCAGGTTGCTCAAACGAAAAAATGAGAATGTGGCTCAGGCGAAAAAGTTGTAACTTTTTATAATTATTGCTTTTTATACATTAATGATACTATAGTACCTAGAAGGTGAACAGCAGGTGTGAGTAGGGCACTGTGATCTAGACTCACATAAACCCTGAGAAACAATCCTATTATTTCACCACTAAATATCAGGGAGTTTTTAGAAAGAAAAACGAGTTTTCCATGTTAATTACATTTTACCTATTTTCTATAGTTTCCTTTGTTATCTTTTTTATCTTTTCAACCCTTTTCAACTACAAAAGTCCATTAATATCTACAAAATTATGGGAAAACCAAAAACGTCCTCATTTGAATTTGAATTTTTGGAACTTTTTAAAAGTCCAAATAAACGAACCAAAAACGGAGCAACTTAATGCACATCAGCAACCAGAGCCATTTTAAAATTAAAAAAGATTGATTTAACCTTTACCCGGCATATTTCTCCGTTCTTCAGTTTCCTCTCCAACCTGGTAAGTAGTCTACAAATCTCAAGATCATCCTTCTTCATCTGTTCAACTCCGTACCTAGAGATGTTCAACACATTTAGCTTTCCAAGGTAAACGGGACAGGGTCTGTAAACTTATTGTACTATGACTGATCTGCTAGGATATAGTTCTGTTAAAACAATAACAAAGATTGCAAACAAAAGCCTTATTTACTAATTCTTGTTTATTTAAACTTGATTTAAACCAGTTCTAAGTACTCCATGATATGTCACAGTAATAAGTAAACAAACTCTATCTCCTCCACCTTTCATCTAGCTATAATTCATCAACTTTTAATAGAAGTGTTTTTGATGAACCAACTCCTAATAGCTCCTAATATAACCTTTTACTCATTCGTTCAGTTAAAAAGTTTTAGCAAAGGAAAAAAGAGTAATTTTTATATGGCTGTAAATAACATCTAAATAGCTTGTCAATTTCTATATAAAATAAAATGATGATATGAAATGAACTGAAAATCCAGTATTTTAGTCTTGATCCGCTAATATTAACCTTTTCTGTAAGATTTCATGTCAATGTTTTTTGGCTTCCATCTAAAAATGCACCCTAAGCATTTTTAGAGAATTCTTGTTGCATTTCTTATTTCAAAAAAGCAAAATTTGTTTTATATTTCTTTCAAAATGTATTTAAAATAATGAAAAATTATCCACTGAGATAACATTATTTAATTTATTTAACTATTTTGTTTAGGTTTTTATACCTTTTAGCAATTCTTTTTCTCTCCTGTTCCAACTTTGTTCTCTCTAAATTAGATTAAAGTGTTAATGGGTTTCAAACTTATGGTTTTATATAAATATCTCTTTTATCTTTTTTGTTTTGTCTGTAAAAATATAAATTTAAATAGCATTTAAATTGATTTTATGTTAAAACTAGTCAAATATTTTTTTTGTTAATATTAACAAGAGAATGACCTAATTCTTTTAGCTGTTGAAGAAATGCCTGGGAAGGATTTGCGATGCTTCTTGAACCCTGAAATAAGAAATAAGTTGAGTTGTTTCTAAACCAAGACTTCATGAGGACCTCTAACCTTTAGTATAAAGCAATCTGTTTTTGAACTAATACTACATGCAGATGGCAGACTTCATAGTAAAGACCAGTCTTTCATAAAGAATGCTGCAAGCAAGCAGCGACTATCCAGTATAAAAGAGACCTTTTTCTATCCCAAGACTGTATGCAGACACTTTCTTTAGTATAAAGTGAACTGTTTCTATACCAAGACTGCATGCAGACACTATCTTTAGTATTGTTACGATAAAAAGTTGAAGAAATGTTAAAGCCTAACATGAATAATTCTACTAAGTATAGGGGGAAAATGTATTTAGAGCATAAAAAAACAGATAATATTTAAATTCGGTACTATACTCATTGGAATAAAGCCGGAGATCTCGACGGACTCTCCGCCTTTCTTCCGCCTCATATGGCGAATCAACCTTCCTCTTCCAACTTTTCGACGAGACTCCCCATAGATAAGGCTTTAGCCTGGCAAATTATTTTCATGCTGCCTTATGGAGCAAGCCTATTGGCCTGAGCTTTAAATAAAACCTGAGGTCGATGGCGGCTGGGATTTTCCACGCATTTAAATCATGGTTTCTAGGATGGCATCTTTTAACGAACCAAATATCTGAATACACTATACACGAGGTGGTTTATTATCCGTCCTACTTTCCGTCCGACCTATAGAAATATACAAAGAGCTAATAGTCTGCCATGCTAATAGACTAAACTAATTGCAATCTGAGCTTAGCTCCGGGTCTGCATGAGGAAGCTGAAGGGTTTACATCAATGGAACTATCCAATCTGAGCTCAGCTCCGGGTCCGTATGAGAACTGAATGGGTTACATCAATAGAACTATCCCTATTCTGAGCTATGAGCTCTTACTGGTTACAGTATAAGGAAAACTGTTTCTATACCAAGACTGCATGCAGACACTACCTTAGTCAAATAGGTTGACAATCTATTTGACCTTAGTATAAAGAGAGCTGTTTCTAATACAAGCCTACATGCAGACACTACCTTTAGTATAAAGAGACATTTTTATAAACCAAGACTGCATGCAGTATATAGCGAGCTGGTTTTAAACCAAGACTGCTTGC